GCGCTCTCGAGGATGGACTCGTTGTGCGCGAAGACCTGCGCGGCGCGGAGCAGCGCAGGAGCGGCCGCGTGGGCGGCCATCAGCTCCCGGTTGGCCTCCGAGTCCTCCACCGCGGTGTGCTGCGGTTGATGAGCGCTGCTCCTTCCCCGTGCAATTTTCGGTTTGGTGCGATTTTTGCTTCCGCAGGATAGACCACGATGTTCCTCGATGGCCCTCGCCGGGAAAGTCACACACGCTTCCGAGCGATGCCGAAGGGGGTGCCTGGCCCAGTCTCGACACCGGCCTCGGGTGCCTGAAGCCGCCTGCCCGCGCCCGACCTCCGCCGATGCTCTCCCTCCCCGCCCTCCGCTGTGTGCCGGGCGGGGCCGGGGTGCCCCCATGGCAGGCCCGGGGCCAGGGCCGGGCACGCACCCCTCCCCGCACCGAGGGGCCGGCGCGCGGGATGAGAGTCACGCTGCCCCTGGCCCTGGCCCGCGGGGCGTGAGCACTCCCTCACCACGGCGCGAGGACCGCCGCTTGGATTCCAACGGGGGTCTGTTACTATAGAGCGGGTCACGAGGCAAACGCTGAAACACATGTTATGCCCATCTGTGCAGCTGCGGTCTGACAAATCGGGGCGGCATCAACGCGACGCCAAGGGGCGACGCCAAATCGGAGCGGGCATTGATTGAGCAGGGACCGGCCGTCCTGACATTCCTATAGTCATACCACAAGATGTTCTTAGAACCAAGCAATGTTCTAAGAACAGAAGCAATGTTCTTAGAACATAAACCCGACGTGCTAAAACAAGGTAGTCCCAGCCAGAAGTGTTCTAAGAACATTCCGTGGGAACCACAGAAGGTTCTTAGAGCAATGTTTGGTGGGGCTAGTCAAAGGCGAGCCAGGACGCTTCGCCACTGCTTGAAACAACGCGACGCCAAGGGGCGACGCCAAATCGGAGCGGGCATCGAGGCGGCGGTCCGCCGCCTCGCTGCCCGCCCCGACCGGCCTCCTCCGCAGCCGTCCTGCGCTTTTGCTCCGCCCCCTCTCGCAGAGGTGCCCAGGCGGGCTCCAGCTTCCGATGAGGGGCTGGCGTGCGGGATGAGAGTCGCGCTGCCCCTGGCCCGCGGGGTGTGAGCCACACTCCCCCACCACGACACGAGCTTGGACGCCCGAAATGGGCACGGAAAAAATGAGTACAATGCCCAACAACAAATGTTGTCCCAAACCAACAGCGGCCGCTGTTGGGCAGGCGGCCTTCTGTCTCGAACGGACACAGGCCGCGGCGGCGTGGACAGCGAATCCTGTTCAGAATGAACAGGAACTGCTGTTGGGCAGTGTACCCATTCTTTCCGTACCCATCTCGGGCGTCCAGAACGAGGACCGCCGCCTCGCTGCCCGCTCCGACCGGCCTCCTCCGCAGCCGTCCCGCGCTTTTTGTGTGTGGCCCCGCCCATTCTCATCGCAGAGGTGCCCCCAGGGGGCACGGGAGCGGCCCGCCGGCTCTGCAAGAAGAAAAATCGCGCCTCTCGCGCCCGCCGGCGAGGCGAGCACGAGTGCCCGCGGCGCACCCGATTTTCGGGGATGGACACAACCCCCTTTAGCAAAACTAGGGGGCCACACGCGAACCCTACCCCTACCCCCCACGATTTCTGAGGGAGAGGGTGGGGTTCACTTCGTTCGGGAGCTCCCGAGCGTGGGGGGTAGGGGTAGGGTTCGCGTGTGGCCCCCTAAAAACGAGGTTTGGTGAAGACGACGTCGGGCCCAAACCTGGCGGGCGCAAGCCTGGAAAGTGACGGCCGCGGCGCCCTCTCGAGAACCGAAAACGGACAAGTCACTAATCGACGTGTCAGGGTGGGGGTTCTGTCCACCTCCGAAATATCCACCCCTCCTCCACGGGAGGCGAACATCTGCAGAAGCGCTCCGTGCACGAGGAAGGGGCTGAGCCTGAACGGTGTTTGTCGTTTTCGTTCTGTTCTCGCTTTCCCTCGCTTTGTCTTCGATCCGCCTTTACCCGCAAAACGAGATCGAGACGAGAACGGCCCACGAAATCGCCAAACCACAATTTAGGTCCAGCCCTGTACAAGGACACATCGCTAAATGTGCACGATCCGCGCTGCCCTCATTTCCGCCGTGCCGCCCCGAAGTCCACGAGACAGGCGACATGTGCGCAATGCGCAGCCTCCCAGGGAGCCGCAAGGTCTCGGCTGGATCCGAGTGGCCCCTGACTCCGCTGGACCTCCCAGGAGCCCACGAAGAAGGCGACAGCCGCGCAGCTCGTAGCCTCCAAGAGAGTTTCGATGCCTCGGGTCCTCTCCGACTCGGCCGTGCCTCCCAGGAGCCCACGGAAGTGGCCACAATTGTGCAGTTCGCAGCCTCCAAGGAGCTGCGCGCTGTCGGATACTCCCCCCTACTCCGCCGTGCATCCCAGGAGCCTACGATGAAGCCGACAGCTGTACCAGTCGTAGCCTCCCAGAGAGCCGCGAAGTCTCGGCTGGATCCGCATGGCCCCCCGACTCCGCTGGACCTCCCAGGAACCCGCGAAAGTGCAGTCCGCAGCCACTCAGGGAGCTGCCAGGTCTCGGGTACTCCCCTCCTCCGCGGTGCCTCCCGGCAGCCCACGAAGATGGCGAAAGCTGCGCGGCTCGCAGCATCCCAAGGAGCTGCGAGGTCTCGGGTACTCTCCGACTCGGCCGAGCCTCCTAGAAGCCCACGAAGGTGTCGACAGTCGCAAGGTTCGACGCCAGCCAGGGGGTAGCGCAGGAGGCGGGGGGAGGAGAGGGGAGGGAGGACGAAGGAGGAGGAGAAGACGCAAACGTGCGACCTGAGTGGTCTATTTGAAACGGGAAACCAACACGGGGGTTTGGGGGAAAAGTGGGTGTCAGGCCCCTTTATTCTGTTGCTGTTCCCTGCGAGGCACTCGATGATGGACCCCCCCCGACGCATCGGGCCAGCATGCGTCCAGTAAGTGCTCCCAGTCCTGAGGTGATTCCCCTTCCAAAGAAGAGCGGTAAGTGATATGCGCGGCAGCGCAACTGCATTGGCGAGGTTGGAAAGTGCGCCGAGCGCGAGCTTGGCTACCTTGCGGTCGCCCTCGCCATCGCAACGCGACAGCGTAGCCACCACGACCTCCACCGCACCAGCCCTTCCGAGCTGCTCGCGTGCCTGGAAAGCATCACGAGGCACCGATCGGGAGCGGCCAAGAGGCGGGTGTCCAAGAGGGGGGGGTGCAAATCATGACCGGCGGCATGTGCGCGGCCCAGCGGGGGGGCCAGGGACGTGATGAAATAAGAAGAGGCGCCATGAAATCTGTGAAAAAATGTGACCCCCGCCATGATATTCACCCCGCCGTATTCATCACCCCCTCTTTTCCGCCCCCGAACCGATACCCATCGGTCGGAAGAAATAGGTAGAAACATGAAGTAGGAAGGCGTTGGAAATAGATTTGGTTTCCGCACGCCTCCTGAAGAGGAAGGAAGAGGGAAAACCACTCGACTCTTGAAGTAGGAAGGCGCTGAAAGTAGATTGGAATCTGGGAATCCATAAATTCCTACTTTCAACGACCGATGGGTACTGCTACTCCCTGGACCCTGGACCTGCCCCCGGGCGCATTCGTACCAGGATTTCCGAGGCGAACCCGGCCGTGGCAACGAGGGCCCCCCCCCCGGGAGACGGAAGGGCATCGGCATATCGCTACGGCGTTCCCCTCCGAGTGCCTCCGGGTCCGCGGCCAGGTTCCCGAGCAGGCCGCACGCCTCCTTCAGCAGCGCAGAGCTGTCGCCGAACCTTCGCATGGCCTCGAGCGTCAAGGGCACGGCGCCCTCCGCGAGAGCCTCACCGCGCCGGCGGCCGGAGCCCGAGGCCCTCGACAGGCAGCGGAAGATGCCGATGCCGGCCTCGTGCAGGGCGACGTCCAGGGGGCTGGCCTGCATCTGCCGCAGCACATCTGTGGCCACCTGGGCGACGAAGGGCAGTGACGTCTGACAGTCGGACCTGGGCCGGACGAACATCCTTCAAGAACATGAAAGCCTCCGCCGGCCAAGACGTGCACAGCATCCAGGGGTAGCCTCCTCAGGAGGCACGAGAACATTCAAAAGAACGAAAAGCACTCGGAGCGCATGTTTTTGTGATCGTGGCCATGACGAGCGTTCTGGGGGGTCAGGATGGGCGCGCCCACCCCCAAAAACTATGGTGCCGGGCGCACTGCGGCGGTGCCGGGGACGCACTGAGGGGGGGAGTGTTACGATATGGGGGGGAAGGGGGAGGGAGGGTAGGGGGCACAACGCGCTTCATGGCCCAGAGGGTAACAAAAACACTCTCTAGGGTACCCTCGTCGAACCGACCTCGACCTTATTTTGGGTGACCCAACAGGCCAGCTGACAGGGGGTGGTGTAATAGATTTGGGACAATTGTGTTGCAAGCGTATTGCGCCGGAGAATTGTATTGCAGTGCATTGCAAAAAAATGTACTGCACGCGAAAATCCAGCAAGACATTTGCGCCCCGGAATGTACTGCACGGCCCACATGTATGACGACCCCGCAAACCTATTGCACCAAATCTATTGCACCACCCCCTCTCAGCTGGACCCCCCTTTCTTGCCGTCGCTCGGACGTCCATTTCCCGTGAATGTTTCGGCTTTGTGCGTGTTTTTGCTGCTCGATGGTCCAGGATGGTCCTCGATGGTTCTCGCCGAGAAAATACGCACACGTCCGAGCTATTGCACCAATTCTATTGCACCACCCGCTTTCAGCTGGACCCCCCTTTGGGTCGACCTCGATCTTACGCCTCCGTCCGACTGTACCCACGGCAGCGCGGCGACCTGGCACGGTGGCTTACCCGAGGCCGCCCGCGCGGCAGCCCGCGCCGAGAGACGCGCGGCGCTCTCGCCGAGGGCGGCCTTTTGCACGGCCGCCTGCGGCCGAAATTGCTCGCAGGGCCGGTTCCTTTCTGCTGCGCCGGCCACCTGCAGGCTGCACAGCCGCTGCTGCACCTCAGAGGAGAAAAAGAGGGCCCCTACTGCTGTCCTTCGTGCGTTGTCCCCCTCTTTCGGGAGCGGCAAAGAGGGGGGTGTCCAAGAGGGGGGGTGCAAATCATGACCGACGGCACGTGCGCGGCCCAGCAGGGGGGGCAGGGACGTAATGAAATAAGAAGAGGCGCCATGAAATCTGGGGAGATATCATGGCCCACGCCATGATATCCACCCCCGCCGTAGTCATCACCCCCCTCTTTTCCGCCCCCGACTCTTGCGGCCTCCTGGGAGAGGCCTCCGTCGCCACCGCTGGCTTCGTCTCGAGACGCTGGCCGGACCTCGCCCCGGAGAGGTCTGGGGATCTACCGACCCGGGCGACACAGGTCAGTCAGGCCTTGCAGGAACCTGCAGGAGCAGGATCCTGCGAGATCCTGCAAGATCCTGCAGGTTCCTGCACCTCCTCCTCCTCCTCCTCCTCCTCCTCCTCCTCCTCCTCCTCCCCCTCCACGTCCTCCTCCTCCTCCTCTTCCTCCTCCTCCTCCTCCTCCTCCTCCTCCTCCTCTTCCTCCCTCCTCCTCCTCCTCAAACCAAACCCAGGTCAAGGCGCCCCTGGCTCGGAAGGATCCTTGAGAATCCGGCGCGCTGGCTGACCCCCGTTCGCATGGACCCCCGCCTCTTGAGCCCCGAGAGGTTCTGGGGAGCGGCGGTACCGGTACCTGTTGGTCTCCCACGCAGGCCTGCGGGCCTGAGCCAGACCCGACGGCAGGAGGAGGGGGAGAAGCGGCAGGAGGGGAAGGAGTGGAGTGGAGCAATCGGACGTAGTCCGTTCGGAACCCAGAGATGCCAGGGGGGCCATCCAGAATTTCTCGGAGGGCCGTGGGGGGCGACATCCCACGGCCCACCGCGACAGGCCCCCCTGGCCTCACAATTTACTCGGAGGCAGCACCCGCCGCGTAGGAACCGATCGCGGCTACGGCTGCCGAAACGTGCAAAGCTTCTAGCACTGACTTGCTGGGGCCCGATCTGGACGGGTGGAGGCCTCGCCTGATCCTGCTGAGGTTCTCGAGGCCTTTGCCAGTGGGTCCCAGGGCCCTGCGCTCTCCCACTTGGTGGGAGAGAGGGCACGGCAAAAGTAGGCTTTTAACCTGGTGCGTGGCCGTATGGCCGCACTTCACACAGAAGAACATTTGCCACTTGGGGATGGTGGCCAACGTGTGGGAGGGGTGAATCGCCTTGCCACTGATCACGCGGGGACCCCTCGACCACAGCACCTCGCCACACGCAGCAAACTCGGGAAGGGGGCAAGGCGGCACACACTCTGTGGCGGCAGCTGGAATAACGTGGCAAGCGTCAACGATGATGGGGCAGGCAGGGCATCTCCATTTGTCTGCACACCGCTCGAATTTGTGCTGAGAAGCCGCGATCGCGGTCTGCAACAGAGAGCGAGGGGCTGCCTCCTGGGTGGGTTGCCTCTCTGGCCACAGTCCTCGAGGCTCTGCATTCTTGCCTAAGGAACGTAAAATCAGTCGTGCCCTCTGACGGACGATGGCAGCAATAGCGTCGTATTCGTCGGTCCTGGGGACAGGCGGGAGGGCAAGGGTGGCCGACTTGTGGGCCGCGCTTCCCGCGAGCTCGTCGGCATGCTGGTTGCCGAGAGCAAGAAATTGTTGGAAACCATGCAAAGTCAGGGGATCGGCGTGCGATGGGGTCCAGAGCACCGAGACCGAAGAGCCGCCGCCAGATCGATCCTGCACGAGGTGCCGAATTCTCAGCCAGAGATCCCCATTCTTATTCTTGCCTCTAAGGCTGCCAGGTCTGAGACATCTGCCATTCTGCCAGCCGCGCTGCAGGGCTAGGTGATCTGTAACGAACGTGAAATCCTGCTGGCACGTCTCCAGTGCCAGGCAAAACGCATGCAATTCGCCTCTTGGGACGGTCTGGCGGGGGCCTGGGAGGGGGGCGAGGAGGCCCGCGTGGAGGGTCCAGGAGGCCGAGGGAGGGTCCCATCGGAGGGCCGCGAGGCCAGAACCAACACGCCGTCGCCTGACGTCGTCGGAAAAGGCGCCGCCAGACCCGTCACCAAAAAGAAACAACTCGCCCTCAGCGTTACGAGCTCCTTCCCACGACGGCAGACCCTCCCGCACCGCACCAACAAACTCCCACCCGTCCCTCCCAGTCAATGGCTCGAACGCGGGCGTAGTGAGAGCGACAGAGGGAATGCCACGGAGCCACAGGGCGGGGTCGGCATCGACCCCCGCCACGGCTCGCGGTAGTAACTTGTCACTGGCCTCAAACTCAGGTCCCACATTCGCCTCGCACTGCCACGTTCGGTGAAACAAGGTTTCAGGAACTCCCGCTCTGCATCGGTCGCAGTTCTTGTCGATCTGGTAGCCCGCGTTGTGGAGGCGGTCTCTGGTCCATTGTCCTCCGCTGATGATGGTGTTGTTGAGGGCCCAGTCAGTCACCGTTTGCGAGGAGCCTCCTTTGTTCAATGCGGATAGTGACCATGTCCGCGCCTCCAGCCAGCGTGTCACCATGGTCATGCGTAGCGGCCTGTGTCCAGAGGAGCCTGTGTAAATCCTCGCTGATGTCCTGCAATACTGTGTGGATGTCGGCGTCGAGGAGGTCAGGGTCATCGGCAGGGGGGAGGTTCCACTCCTCGATGTAGCCGTCCTTCGTACGCCTCCACGTGGTAGCTGAGGTCGGCTCCCAACTGGCCTCCAGCAGGGTCGCGATGGCCGCGCCTGTGGGTCCCTTGACCCTGCACCACAGCTTGGGGCCTGCGGCGAGCAAGGTGGTCTTGATCCTTGGCCATGCTCTGATGATCCTGGCGTGCGTGCTCGGGTGGCGTATCCAGTGCTGAAGCCAAGCCTCGATGAATTCGATCCTTAGGGAAACTCCTGGGTCCATGCCGTCAAAGGTGGCGCCGAGGAGGGAGGTGAGGCATCGGCCCGCTGCTGCTCCCGTGGCCGCAATGGCGGCCTGGCGCCGCCATCGTAGTAGAGCGTGCCGAGCGAGGCCGTGCACCTGATGACCGAATACTCCTTCGGGGAGAGCGCCAGTACGCCACAGTCCTGCTGAGATTCGAGCCTGCTGTGCAGTGCTCCTTAGTCGGTGTATCTTGCGAAACCTAGCTGCGGCTGAGCTCTGTCGCTTCCTGGCTTTGGCTTGTACTCGTCTAGTAGCCGCAGCCGCGTCAACTCCGAGGTCGACGGCCGTGGCGGTCGCAGTAACTGGGAGGAGGAGGGGGAGGAGGGGGAGGAGGGGGAGGAGGGGGAGGGGGAGGGGGAGGAGGAGGAGGAGGAGGAGGAGGAGGAGGAGGAGGAGGAGGAGGAGGAGGAGGAGGAGGAGGAGAAGGAGGAGGAGGTGGAGGAGGAGCAGCACCTCCTCGCAGTCGGTGGCGCAGGCCAGCAGGGCCGATGCTGTCGCCGCCCCTGCGTCCCCCGCCCCCGTGGACACCAACGCCGCCAGCGCGTCGACGCCTCCGCCGCGGAGCACCGCCAGGCGGCAGTCCTCCTTCACGGCGAAGTTGGCGACGAAGCGGCAGACCGCGACGACCAGCGACTGCCTGTCGGAACACCTCCTCAGCACGTCCACCAGGACGCCGATGGCGCCGCACCGCAGCGCGGCGTGCCGGTGGCGCGTTCGCCGGGCGAGCAGCGCGAGGGCGGTGGCGGCCGCCTCCAAGACCACGTGGTCGCCCCCGAACTCCTGCAGCTGGTCCACGATCAGCGGCACCAGGCCCAGCCGGCCGATGACCTGGTCCGAGCCGTCCGCCACGCCGAGCGCCGCCGCGAGCTCCATGCAGCACTCCACGATGCTGGCGCTGCCCCGAGCCGGCCCTCCGAGGACGTCCCTGACGATGGTCAGGAGGCCCTTCTCGGGGATGGACAGACCTCCCTTTAGTAAAACGTGGTTTAGTGTAAACGACCTAGGCCCAAGCCTGGCGGGCGCAAGCCTGGAAAATAACGGCCACGGCGCCCTCTCGAGAACCGAGAACGGACAATTCACTAATCAACGTGTCACTGTTGGGGGTTCTGTCCGCCCCCGACCTTCTGCAGCGCAACCGCCTCGGCGGAGCCCTGCCCCTCTGCGCCCAGCAGCGCGGCCAGGACGCGGAGCGCCGAGCCGAGGCAGCCCTCCTCTGGCGGCTCTGCGCGCGCCCGCAGCCAGGAGCAGAGGCCGGAGACCAGGGCCGCCGCCGCGGGCTCCTCGACCTCGCAAAGGCCGCCCGAGGACCCCAGGGCCTCGAGCGGGCGCAGGAGCGGCATCAGCTCCGCGGCGGTCGTGCTGCCCCGCTGCAGCAGGCGCCCGCAGGCCTCCGCTGCGGCGGTCGCCTCTCCCGGCGCCGCCGCGGCGGCGGGGGGGGCGCCCTCCACCGGCGCGGCCATCGCGGCGCAGGCCCCGGGGGGCGAGGCAGAGGGCCTGACACGGGCGCGGGCTCCGCCCTCGAGCCAGGCTGTCGCAGGGAAGACAGGGCTCGGCTGCGCGAGCCACGACGAAGACTTGACCACGAGCGCCCCCGGAGGACGAGGGCAACTTCCAGTGCACACCCTGGCCTAACTCGGGTCAGAATCGGCCCCCAGACCTCTCACGAGACGTCCCCGCCCAGCTTGCACAGATACATGCGTGCACAGACCAAAAATCCCAGCGCGAACCCCAACACTAACTCAAAGCAAGCCATGGTACAATGCAGAGCAATTCCAAGTAATGCAAGCCAGCACAGAGCAACGCAATGCACAGCCATGCAACTCAATGTAACACGAACGTAATGCACAACACTACAAAACAAGGCCGCAAAACAATGCTGAACAGCAATAATGCGACCGAACTAATGCAAAGTCATGCTGCGACGCAATGGAAGTCTCGAATACATGCTGCAAAACATTGGACAAAAACGCAACACGATGCAAACCAATGCGAGACACTGCCAAACAACCGGGCGGCAACGGCCGCACGCAGGATGTCAATTTAGAATTCGGGGCTAGGTCGGTGCGGCAATGGGACGGCGACGGGCGGCAAAGATGTGTACATTAAGAACTCAGGGTCAGATTCTTAGGGAACCGGCAAGGCTCGTGAAGTGCCAAGTGGGATGTCCTCAAACACTTCGAGTTCTGGCTGGGATACCGGGGTGCTCACGGGCGATGATGGGCGCTACTGGACTGGCACGCCTCACTATTCCCGAAGTCAAACGTACGTTGAAACCGTTTCGTTTGGTTCAAGTGCTCGGATCTGGAATGGAGGAGGCGAACTGACCTCAGAAGCCCACTCATGTCAAGATGGCCCCAGACACCGCCAAGGCGTTTCGAAGATGCCCCGCCCATGAGACCCCAAAGCACCTCCAGGACCCCATAACCGCCCGACAAGCGCCCAATGAACAGGCCGCAAGAGGCCTCCAAGAGCCTCCGCACGCCAAAGAACTCCCAAGAGGTACATAAGAATACTGTAAAGCACAAGCCGGGCACGGTGGCGGGATGCATCGACGACCACTAGATCCATGCAAATACGAGTACATACAATATACGTACCCGTCACCGTGCCACGAGCCATCAAATGGAGTGCCCTGAGGTCCCCTGGAACTCACAGCCTTCAGCACCAAATATAGAATTCGCCGGCCCAACGGGCCAGAGACGTGCAACGATCTCCAGTAACAATTTTTAACAATATTTCAAGCTCGCGCGCGCGGGGCGGCCCTTGGGGGCCCCCGGACGAAAAGTACCCCGGCTGACCCCCGGCCGGGTCCCGGGCGATCCCCAGGGGGAAGGATATTTTCGCCACCCCTCACGAGGATCGTGGCCTCCGAAGGGGTGGCTGCAATCGACTACCCCCCGTCCCGCCCCAGGGGGCCCCCGAGAGCCCCCTAAGAGCCCTCAGGGGAGCCCAAGACGCCGCCAAGGAGCCCCCGGACGCTCCCGAGAAGCCCCCAAGAGGCTCCCAAGACGGCCCCGAGGGGCCCCAAGCAGCGCTCCAGGGCCGGCGGAAGGAGCGAAGCGATTTTTTAGAATCCTTCGGGGGGCCAAATCACAGCCCCTCGAGTGATCTGGCCATCGGCGGCATTGCCTGCGTCGCCACCATCCGCGGAGCCCCGCCCCGCCTCTTCTGGTTCAGAACCACTGAAGGGGCCCAGGGACACATAAATACATACACACGAACAAAAAGATTCCCAACATTTTCCCAGATTTTCTGGGTTTCCGTCTTCCCCCCACTGCCCATATTTTCAAATATTTTCTGTGTGTTGTTTCCTCTCCTGAAACCAACCGCGTCAATACCAGCATTGGAGCGCAATTCTGCTCCTGGGCTTCGAACCGAAAAAAATTATCCCGGCAAAGCAACCTAACAGCGATGTGTAGGAGCATATCTGGAAGCATTCCCCTTAAGATTCAGATAAGAATCCTGTTGTAGAATTCTGCTGTTCTCGCAGTCGTGGTCGCATTCGCGATGGCAGTCGCAGTGGCAACAGCAGTCGCAGTCACAGCCTCAGCCTCAGCCTGCCTCAGCCTCAGCCTCAGCCTGCCTCAGCCTCAGCCTGCCTCAGCCTCGCCCTCAGCCTGCTTCAGCCTCAACATCAGTCTGCCTTCAGCCTCGGCCTCAGCCTGCCTCAGCCTCACCCTCAGCCTGCATCAGCCTCAGCCTGCCTCAGCCTCGCCCTCAGCCTGCTTCAGCCTCAACATCAGTCTGCCTTCAGCCTCGGCCTCAGCCTGCCTCAGCCTCACCCTCAGCCTCATCAGCCTCAGCCTGCCTCAGCCTCAGCCTCAGCCTGCTTCAGCCTCAGCCTCAGTCTGCCTTCAGCCTGGCCTCAGCCTCAGCCTGCCTCAGCCTCAGCCTGCATCAGCCTCAGCCTCAGCCTCAGCCTGCCTCAGCATCAGCCTGCCTCAGCCTCAGCCTCAGCCTGCCTCAGCCTCAGCCTCAGCCTGCTTCAGCCTCAGCCTCAGTCTGCCTTCAGCCTCGGCCTCAGCCTCAGCCTGCCTCAGCCTCAGCCTGCATCAGCCTCAGCCTCAGCCTCAGCCTGCCTCAGCATCAGCCTGCCTCAGCCTCAGCCTCAGCCTGCCTCAGCCTCAGCCTCAGCCTGCTTCAGCCTCAGCCTCAGTCTGCCTTCAGCCTCGTCCTCAGCTTCAGTCTGCCTTCAGCCTCAGCCTGCCTCAGCCTCAGCATCAGCCTGCCTCAGCATTCAAAGTGTGGCCCGGGAATGGAGTTCTGGGAACTCGAAGAACACGAAGTGGCCTACAGTTGGCTCCGGGCATTCAAAATCATGCCCAGGAATGGAGTTCTGGGAACTCGAAGACCACGAAGTGGCCTACAGTTGGCTCCGGGCATCCAAAATGTGGCCCGGGAATGGAGTTCTGGGAAGTCGAAGAGCACGAAGTGGCCTACAGTTGGCTCCGGGCATCCAAAATGTGGCCCGGGAATGGAGTTCTGGGAAGTCGAAGAGCACGAAGTGGCCTACAGTTGGCTCCGGGCATTCAGAATGTGGCCCGGGAATGGAGTTCTGGGAGGTCGAAGAGCACGAAGTGTGTGACTGTATGCGAAAAACGATCCCCGCCGGCAAACCCCAACTCGTCCCCAACGGCTGCCCAGACCCCCCTGTGGAGTAATGTGCTGCTCTCTTTTTAGCCTATTAGAAACCTACCAGTCTTCGCTGTTAGGTAAAAACGACGCCTCGAGCATGGACTCCACGCCTCGTCTGGGGGTCGACGGAACGGCGCAAGCCTCCTGAATAGGGACCCTCCTTGAGGTCCTGGAGAATCCTAAGGTTGCCGCCACGGTCTGCGATCCACCCCCCGTCGCAGAGGGATGCGCGAGCGCACCCGCTGCCAGACGAACGAAGACCCGCGCGCGGATAGGATTCGGACCTGCTCCTGGCTGCTCGGTAGGCGTGACGGGGTGGACCGCGTGGGTCGGGGGGGACGAAAGGGTAGAATAGCAAATGGTGGGGTGTAGCCTTGACTGGCGCCTCCTGGCGCCGGGATGCGCCCGTATATCGAGGAATGGGCCCGGCGGCGGGGCGGAAACCAGCTGCATGCAACAGATTCCGTACCACCCCCCTGCTCCAATCCTACCCTTTCGTCCAGCCCGAGTAGGGGGGCGCAGTGAGCGCGCTCGACGCCGGGCGTGGGCGTGCTGCAGATGACGTCCGGGGTGGACTCGACGCGCGTGGGGCTGGGCGGACTGCGGGGGGGGGGGGGGAGGGCAAAGCGAACCTTCGAGTGGGCATGGCGTGTGCCCCTTGGCCCTTGGGCGGCGTGGAGCAGCCTCGTGGCGCGCAGCGCCACGAGGCAGAGCGAGGGCGACGGCCTTGCCGCGAAGCCAGCCGGCCCCTGGGGTGCCACGCGTTCCGCCCCTCCCCGGGGGGCGGGCAGGGGCTCCTCCAACGGCCACGGGGCCTGCCCACCGCCCCGGGGCCTGTATGCGTGTCAGTCGGTGTGTTTGTGTGTGTGTGTGTTTTGTTGTCTGTCTGTCTGTCTGTCTGTCTGTCTGTCTGTCTGTCTGTCTGTCTCTGTCTGTCTGTCTGTCTGTCTGTCTGTCTGTCTGTCTGTCTGTCTGTCTGTCTGTCTGTCTGTCTGTCTGTCTGTTTTGTTGTCTGTCTGTCTGTCTGTTTTGTTGTCTGTCTGTCTGTCTGTCTGTCTGTCTGTCTGTCTGTCTGTCTGTCTGCATGTTTGTGTGGGCGTGTGCGAGTGTACGTGTGTGAGAGAGAGAGAGAAGAGAAGAGAGAGAGAGAGAAACAACAAAAACAAAAAGAACATACGTGTACTATGTGCTCTCCTTGGAGGCCTGAGTCGAACCGCATTCCCCAAACAGCGCTTGCACTTAGGGGTCCTTGCTTGCTACGAAGGAGCTGGGCCTGACTGTCGGTCTGGCGGCTATGTTGCCGCCGTCGCCGTCCCGTCGCCGCCTCGTCGCCGCCCGTCGTCTGGGCCTTGCTGTCGGTCTTACGTGTATGTTGCCCCCGTCGCCGCCCCGTCGCCCCCCCGTCGCCGTCCGTCGCCGGCTCGAATTTCTACCGCTGCATAAATTCTCCTTCCTTAAAACACACTAGGTTCTACCACCCTTCCCCCCCCGGGTTTAAAAATCCCCAGGGAACCGATGCAAAACACATAGGATTCTGACCCAACTGTGCATCATACCTGTGAATTCATACTATCCGAGCCACACCGGTATCGCCCCCCCCACCGCCATCCTCGGCAACCAAAAAACTATGCGCGCACACTCTATTTCTTAACCCAAAAAACATGATTTCCAATAATCCCTTGCAAGAAATGGGACGAAGTGCACACGCGTGAGTCGTCGCGCGCGCATGCAAGAATCCTTCAAAAGCGTTCGGCTTCGGAAGGATTTCAAAATCGAGTTTTCCAAAAACATATACAGAAAACAGGTTTTCGCAACACTGATCGTCTAAAAGAGCTTACGCGCCCGCTCTTGCGAAATCTTTAGAAAACCATAAGTGTTTGAACAGGTTCAAACAAACAAATGCTACCAAACGGGCTTCGCGTGCGCGCGTCTCGAAATCGTTCGAACGCCCTTGCGCGCGTGAATCCTGGCGAGAATCCTCGCAAGAATCCCGGAGGGGTCGGTATAGACTCCACCCCATCCTTTGCAACAAATACTAAGCGCACGCACTCGTTGATCAAGAGTTATGAATCCCTTGCAGAAAAAAGCGGGCGAAATGCACACGCGCGCGTCGTCGCGCGCGCATGCCGAAATCCGTCAAAAACCTTCGGTGTCGGAAGGATTTCAAAATCGAGTGTCCAAAACACATACAAAAACACAACGGTTTCGCAACACGGACTTCCAACAAAAGCGTGCGCGCGCGATCTTGCGTCGTCGTCGTCGTCGTCGTCGAAGTCGTCGTCCTCTGTCTTTCCTCGTCTGCGTCGTCGTCTTGGCGTCGTCGTCGTCGTTCCTCCTCCCTCCTCGTCGTCGTCGTCCGTCGTCGGCGTCTTGTCGTCGTCCCTCCTATTTCGTCGCCGTCGTCGTCGTCATCCCTCCTCCCTCGTCGTTGTCGTCGTCGCCGTCGCCGACCTCCCCCCTCCTTCGTTCGCGTCCTCGCCGTCCTTCCTCCTCCCTCGTCGTTGTCGTCGTTGTCGCCGTCGTCGTCCCCCTCCTCCCTCGTCGTCGTCGTCTTCGTTGGCGACGTCGTCGTCGTCTTCGTCGTCGTCGTCTCCGTCGGTGTCGACGTCGTCGTCGTCGTCGTCGTCGTCGCAGTCGCCGTCGCCGTCGCCGTCGCCGTCGCCGTCGCCGTCGTCGTCGTCGTCGTCGTCGTCGTCGGCGTCGTCGTCGTCGTCGTTGCCGTCGTCGTCGTCGTCGTCGTCGTCGTCGTCGTCGTCGTCGCCGTCGTCGTCGTCGTCGCCGTCGTCGTCGTCGTCGTCGTCGTCGTCGTCGTCGTGGGCGTGGGCGTGGTCGTCGTTGTCGTCGTCGTCGTCGTCGTCGTCGTCGTCGTCATCCAAGTCGTCGGGGACGTCGTCGGTGTCGTCGTAGTCGTCGTCGGCGTCGTCGTCGTCGTTGTCACTGTCGTCGTCGGCGTCGTTGCCAAGTGCCATTTGGTACCCACAGTCTCGGTCTAAGAGGTATTGCGACCAAGTTGCGGGTGGGAGAGTGGGGTTTTTGCACGAGCAGTGGAGAAGACAGCTTCCAGGCAGCCAACATGAATTGCACTGCACATATTGCACCACATAGATCATGCTGCTTAAAATCAGAAAAGACTCGACCCCCCCCCGGAATTATAGATCCCCTATTTCGTATGGCAATTGACATAGGATTCTGCCCCATCGTCCATCCTACTCGTGAGGTCATCATATCCCAGCCAGGCCGGTATCGACCCCCCCTGCCATCCTCTGCAAAACATAATACGAGCGCAAGCGTTTATCAAACATCAGAAGCTTCAAGAATCCCTTGCAACGAATGGGCCGAAGTGCACACGCGCGCGTCGTCGCGCGCGCATGCCGGAATCCTTCGAAGACCTTCGGTTTCGGAAAAAATTCAAAATCGAGTTTCCAAAAAACACATACGACAACACAAGGATTTGCAACACCGGGTTTCTCAAAAAACTTGCACGCGACCTCGTGCGACATCTTAAGAAAACCATCGGCGTTTCAACAATGTCAGAACAAACAAGACCTACTACCAAACGGGATTCTCGCGCGCGCATGTCAAAATCGGTCGAACGCCCTTGTGCGCGTGCCGTCGCGAGTATCCTCTGCAAAAAAATGGACGAAGAGTACGCGCGCGCGTCGTCGCGCGCGCATGCCGAAATCCGTCAAAAACCTTCGGTTTCGGAAGGGTGTCAAAATCGAGTGCCCCATAGACACACGCGCGCGCGTCGTCGCGCGCGCATGTCAAAATCCTTCAAGGACCTTCTGTTTCGGAAGGATTTCAAAATCGAGTTTCCGAAAAACACATGTACAAACACACACGGTTTCGCAACACTGCTGTTCTAAAAAAGCTTACGCGCGCGCCCTTGCGAAACCTTAAGAAAAACATGCGCTTGTTTTACAACAAAACTGCCAAACGGGCTTAACGCGCGCATGTCGAAATCTTTCGGACGCCCTTTGCGCGCGCGCCGTCGCGAGAATCCTCTTCACAGAAAGGGATGAAGTTTAGACGCGCGCGTCGTCGCGCGCGCATGCCGAAATCCTTCAAAAACCTTGAGCCTCGCAACGATTTCAAAATCGTGCGTCCAAAAAATACAAAAAAAACACAACGGTTTCGCAACACGGCTTTTCAACAAAAACGTGCGCGCGCGCGCTCTTGCGTCGTCGTCGTCGTCGCCGGCCTCCCACCTCCCTCGTCGTCGTCGTCGCCGTCGTCGTCATCTGTCTTTCCTCGTCGTCGTCGTCGTCTTGGCGTCGTCGTCGTTTCCGTCGTCGTTGTCGCAGTGGTCGTCCTTCCTCCCTCGTCGTCTTCGTCGGCATTTCGTCGTTGTCCCTCCTATTTCGTCGCCGTCGTCGTCGTCGTCGACGTCGTCTTCCCTCCTCCCTCGTCGTTGTCGTCGTCGCCGTCGTCGTCACCCCTCCTCCCTCGTTGTCGTCGTCGACTTCGGTGGCGAAGTCGTGGTCGTCGTCGTCGTCTTCTTCGTCGTCGCCGTCGTCGTCGCCGTCGTCGTCGTCGTCGTCGGCGTCGTCGCCGTCGTCGTCGTCGTCGTCAGCGTCGGCGTCGTCGTCGGCGTCGTCGGTGTTGTCGTCGTCGTCGTCGTTGTTGTCGTCGTCGAAGACGTTGGAGACGTCGTCGGTATCGTCATAGTCGTTTTCGGCAGCGTCGTCGTCGTCGTTGTCAATGTCGTCGTCGGCGTCGGTGTCGTTGCCAAGTGCCATTTGGTACCCACAGTCACGGTCCCAAGAGGTCTTGCGACCAAGTTGCGGGTGGGAGAGTGGGATGTTTGCACGAGCAGTGGAGAGGACAGGTTCAAAATGAGCAAGTGATTGATTGCACCAACATAGACTGCACCACATATATGGCACAACCTATATATCTCACCAAATAGACTGCACCACATAAAGTGCATCGCAGGGATTGCACCGCAATGGTTGCACCACATAAACTACTGCACATCGATTGCCAAACTTATATTGCACCACATAGACTACATCGCACGACATATATGGCACAACATAGATGGTACAACCTTGGTCGCACCACATAGGATGCAGAACATACGTTACACCGCAGATATTGTACAGCAAATGTTGCACCTCACAAGCAGCTCCATACACACGGCACAACGTAGATTACTATAAACACACTCTTCGGGGCCCATGCTGGCTAACACCATACAGTGCAACCGAATTCTAGTCTCTCGTTACCCAAGCGGCATGGTGAAAACGCGCCCGGCACCGAGAATATATTAACAGATTTCTGACCGCGCGCGTCGCCCCTCTGGGGGCGACGTGCACGTAGTAGAAGTATGTTTGGGTAACGCAGAAGATAGGCCGAACCGAGTGTCAAAATTCAGAACCGTAGGACTCGGCCAATGCCGCGGGGGCGATCTCGGACAGCCAGTAGGTCAAACCACAGGGCAGGCTCGGACGACTCGGGCCAGGGGGCAGGCCAGCCGCAGGGCAATCAAAGCCTGCCTGACAACCGAATGTGGCAGGCTCGGGCAGCGTCTAAGCAGCGCGGGAGGCACACAACCGCAGCTCTGCCAGTGGGTGGGCGGAAGGAGCATTGGCCCAGGGCCCCACTGCATTCAGACACTCTTCCCGCTCCAGCGCCCACTCGTCGCCGTGCTCCTCCTCATCCGCCACCGCCAGCACCGCCGGCGACGCCAGACGACGCCGGACGACGACGACGACGACGACGACGACGACGACGACGACGACGACGACAACGACGACGACTGACGAAGACGACGACGACGACGACGACGACGACGACGACGACGACGACGACGACGACGGACGAAGGCCAAAAGCGTCGGCGACAAACGGCGAGGAGCGACGACGCCTCACGCGCCTCGGGTGGGGGTGGGGCCGTCGCGCAGCCCGCAGACGAGAAGGGGCGCCGCGGGGTGCCTCCCTCGCCGGCCATGGGCAGCCCCCGCCGCCGCAGCCACAGCTTGACCAGGCGGACGAAGCGGAGGACCTCCCGGGGCTCCGGAGGGCAGGAACACGGAAGAGCGACACCGCCACCATCGGGGGCCCCCTCGGGCGAGGACACGACCACGACGGGAGAAATTTTTGTTTCCATGCTTTCGGCCTCTGGAGGCCTGCACCGGCCCTCGGGACCGTCTGAAAATCGGGAGCGGCCAAGAGGGGGGTGTCCAAGAGGGGGGGGCGCAAATCATGACCGGCGGCATGTGCGCGGCCCAGGGGCGGGGGCCAGGGACGTAATGGAATAAGAAGAGACGCCATGAAATCTGGAGAAATATCATGGCCCCCGCCATGATATCCCCCCCCTAGTCATCACCCCCCTCTTTGCCGCCCCCGAAAAAACGACGCAGGATGAAAAACCGGAGCTGGGGAATGGGTCGAGACCTCTGGGGTCGACGGCGCGAGAAAATCATGGCGTCGGGGGCCTGGGAGCAGGGACCACGAGCGGGAGGAGCCCAACGGCGTCCCCTTCGCGGTGCGGGGCCCACCCTCGCGCTCGGTACCCCCCCCTGTGCCCAGTTCGCGGGGGCAGCGCGGACCGGGTGGTGGCGGTGTCGCTTCTCTTCCCCCCGATCAGGAGGGTCGAAGCTCGAGGGTGGCAGGATTCAAGGGGCCCAAGGGCACACAGACAAATGCACACAAATAACAGGATTCCCTATATTTCCCTATCTCTCTTGGTTTTCTGTCTCCCCGCCCGCTTCCCATATTTTCCCATATGTTCGGGGGAGTCGACGATGATTTGTGTCTCTGTGTGTTTTTTCCCCTCCTGAGATCAGGAGGGTCGAAGCTCGAGGGTGGCAGGATTGAGGTGCGAGGCTCGAGCACAAGGGGATCGGGAGCCGGTCGGCAAGGCGGAGGGCGACCTCACCCCGCGGGCGCGCCGGGGCTCTAGCCTCGAGGGATCGCGGCGGCTTCTCAAAGGTGCTCCCACGCCTGTGGCCGCGATCGTCGAAGATCGGCAGAAGCCCCTTGGTCCAACAGGGGGTGCGTCAACCCCTATCCCAGGCACCGTGAGGTTTTCGCGAGGATCAGCAACTTGGGGCCCTACCCTGGGATATACGAGGGGGGGGCGTCCATCCTCGATAGGGGTGCGTCCGAATAGCCGCCTCGGGACGTATCCCAAGATTCCCCCCCTTTTCTGATCGGCCAAACTTTTCCGGCGGAACTCGGGGATTGGGGGAGAGAAATCGGCTGTGATGGTCGATTTTGATCCATCATGGGCCTCCGAATGCCTCTCGAAGCCGCCTGGGAAGACCTCCTCCACCGCCCCCTCCCGCGACCGCGGCCATCGAGGCTCCTGTGTGCTTTGGTGCCCTTTTCGGCCCCTGGAGGCCGCCAGAAGATACCTCTCGGCAGCGACCATCGAGGTTCGAGGATCGAGGTTCACTTCAATTCTCTCGTTTAGCGTCCCCGACTGCTTGCTCTAAGAAGCTTCACAAGCATAGCGCGCGGGCACCCTACAAAGGAGCTGCCACAGAGTATGTCATATCCCCGAAATCTCATGCGAACACCGCCACTGTGGCCTTCGGTGGACCTCCCTATGGGGTCACGAAGCGCGTGAAAGGTTTGCCGAAATGGGCGGGGGAGATCGTGCGAACACCGCCACGGGGCCTCCCGTGGAGCACCCTGCGGGCGCACAAAACGTGCGCGGGGTGTACCGAAATGTGCGGGGGGGGGGGGGGGGGCATGCGAACACCGCCGTTGGGGCCTTGGGTGGGACTTTCTATGGGGACACGAAGCGTGTGAAGAGGTGTGCCGACGTGGGCGTGGGGGCTTGCGCGTAGCCGCCTTGTCTTCCGATGCGCCCAATTGCGCGAACATGTCCAACCAAACATCGGGAACGACGTCGCGTTGCCGCGCGCTGCCATACGTTTCGAATGGATCCCCACTTCCATGTCGAAGGCTCGCTCTCTCCAATACCGCCTCCCGAGTGCGAAACCTACCGTGGACGCCACGTAAACGGAGGCGCAGATCATTTCTGGAAACGTTACCTTCTCACAGAAAGCTCCTCTGGCAAGTAAAACGTCAACATATCACTGGCCAACGCCGCTGGGGGCAGCAGCGCTTCTTCCCGTGGCGCCCGCTTCGCGCTCCGGCACTCCCAACGCACATGAGGCCTTGGCGCGGATGGCGCGCTTCGTTCCCGGGCCGGCGCCCGCCGTTGGCGCACCGCGTGTCCTCAGGGCAGCACAGCACTTTTGCTGGGCCGCCCCACGGAAGACACCGCAAAAGCCAGTGTCCCCGTCGGCCGAACACTGCTTGCAACTGGGCCACGCTCCCCTTTTGGCCCTTCCGCGCACACGTCGTGCACACAAGAGGGCCATTGGGTCGGGAAGCCACAGATCCACACGAGAACCAATCCATCGGGAGCCAAGCCCCCACTGGAAACAGTCTACCGCACAGGGTTGGTGTAAGAAGCCATGCGGATCCAGAGGAAGCCGAGCCATAGAGATCCAAGCGTCCACAGTTGAGGGCCCCCCACATGATCGAGGGTACGCCGCCCATGTTCACCCTGCAACTCGCGCCCGCAGCCTAAGTAAACTGGCGGTGTAAACGTCACATCACTCACATCTCTATCGGGATGGGCATGGATCACATCACATCACATCACATCCATAGGGCATGGATCACGCACATCTCTATCGGGACCACAATTCGCCGACCCGTCGAGCATGCTGGATCACCCGCCCATAGAACCCTCCACACCTTTTCCAAACATCCTCGTGACAGGAGGTCCATATAAGAATGCCAAAACGACCCACGTAAGTTTCCTGCGAGCCATCCTGTTGAACAGCTGGCGTGTACGCCGACTGTGCGTTCGGGTCGGCGGCAGAGGCGGCAGCCTTCAGGTAAGGGTGGGGAGAGCAAGCCCTGAAGCCGATCAGCCACAACTGAGGGGAGCTGTGTTCTTGAACCCCCTGGGGACACCATTGGTACCGACGATCTCTCGAGAGGGGCTGTCGAAGCCAGTGGGTCCCTCGGATATAAGAAGGACTGCAAGCAAGGGAACTCAGTTAGTGAGGGGGCCCCGAAGCCCAAGCAGTGGACCGGAATCGCTAGACCTGGTCTGGTGGAGCTGGTGCTTCCTTCGGGGGCGCGCAACCATGGATTAGCGACCCTTGGATTTGGCGCGCGGTAGCCAAATCCATGGATCGGGAGAGGTGCCCTCCCAAAAATGCGGCCGCTGCCGCCTCGTTCGGCGGCGGAATTCCGCGATTTCCCATGGAAACGGGACCCGTCGCTAATCCACGCCCCCTTGATCCATGTGTGCGATCGCCAGATTCTTCCGGTGGTGGCAGTTCTGGTTAGTGGAATGGGGCGGGGGGGCGTCCTCAAGTACACATCACTAAACCAGGTCCCACTGAACCCAATCCTACAACTTTTCCAGTTAGTGGCTGGTCCGTGACGGGAATGGGCCCTGAACACTGGGCCCCGCCCCCGCGGGACAGAAAATATGTGCCTCTGGGGCGCTTGCTTCACTGGGCCAGGGGAGGGCCCGGGCAGGCCAAAAACAACGAAAAGCCGCAGGACCAATTCACCTCAGAACTCAGCTTCTTCCTTCATGGTCGCTGCTTCCTTAGCGCAAGAAACGGCATACACATCTAAACTGTTGGAAGTCCGCGCGGATTTCTTGGATCCGCGCCGGGCCTCACTCCTTGGCAGCGCGGAGCGCGCCAGGGGCGGCGCCGGAGGCGCCGCCCGGGGGGCCTAGAGCGGATCCAAGAAATCCGCGCGGACCTCCAACTGTTTACGCTCATAGCGCTTTTGTTCTCAAAGTTTTCGAATATTGAAAGGGTCATGGAGAACTGACAACGCCGAAGAAAGCAGGAGGGAAGGTGGGCCAGCCGTATGGTAGCAGCCGCTGTTCAGGGCCGACGAGAGTGGGCCGTAAAAGCGGGGGACAGCGAATCGGCTGCACGTGGCGAACCTTTTTTGGGTGGGGTGGGGGCCCAAGGCGCTGGGTTAGGAGGCAACTACTGGGAAGTTCTCGTCGGAATGATTAAGGAAGATTAAACCCCATTTGGGAGCTGTTACGCCGGAGTGGGCCTCGGATTCAGCGGGATTGAGCCAGATTGAACGGGATTCGGCGGGATTGCGCGGGATTGAAGGGGATTCAGCCGAATTAAGCCGGATTTCGGACCAAGGCAAGATCAGAATTCGACCTCCCAGTTGCATCCGAAGCTGGGGGAACGACCTCGGAACCGAAAGCGGCTGCCTCCAGCAGCGTCCGACACCCTCCCGCTCCCAGCCCCAGCCGGTCGGACTTCCAGGGCGCCCGCCCAGACCCCCGCTCGTCCGGGCTCTGCCCGAGCGGAAGCGGGGAAGGAATGCGCGGACGTGGGTCGTCGATACAGGTTTGGTCTGCCGTTCTGTATTTGTGGAGGGGGCACGAGACAGCGACAGAAGCAGTGGCCTCAGGGGCACCCTTGTCTGACCCCGACGCCTGCCGGGAGCCCCTCCACCGCCTTCCCGAGCTGAGGTGGGTGCCGAATCCGCAATCGTGCCTGGAACTGGTTGGTGTGTTGGGTCTCTTGCTAGTCGTCCATTGGCGTCGCTTCTTGCGAGGCAGCGGTGCGTAGCGGATGCCCACGACGCTTCGAGTCAAACATGCGTTCATTTCCAATTCCAAGTCCCTTTGTCGCTGGACGTCTGCACATAAAGTGATGCCACATACTCCTTCCACCACCACTTGAAGCACCCTCCCTACCAAACAAGCAGAACAACAGCACGGTGGCGGATATGCGCTGCAACACTACTGAATGTGTTGGCGCGATCCCCCCGCGTCACCTCTGGTCTGCCCTGCAGCGTGTTGTTCAGCATGGTTCGGTGCCTTGCAAGCGGGGAGCTGTATTTGACGACCACAGCCGCCAGCGATGAGCCACCCTTTTACAATGGCACCCAGCACCCCGTCATTTGAGTGCTACAGTCTACATCAGCAAACAAGCGTGGACGTTCATGTTGCATCAATCGCAGCAGCCACATGCGGAAGCCATGTGATCCACGACCCAGGACGGCATGGGCCGAAGGGACAAGGAATCTGGCACAGAATTGATGGAACACTGCGTCCTCACCACAATCGGATCATTGACCCCTCACTGGCTTACGATGTCACCGATGTCGCGAGCGATCTCGGCGTCGTGAGGGGAAACACGGCCCAAGCCACGACACCGCGTCGTCCTTGAAGACCACAAGTATGAGAGCGGGGCGAAACGCTCGTCGTGTCTTTTCGCCACGGCACCCAAATCCGAAATTTCCTTCTCCGTCGAAGCGAAGCTCCTTCCCTTGTACCCTGCCCTGCCAGGGGGGCGGGGGCGGTTTGGGGGGGGGATGGGGGAGCCTGGCCAGAATACCGCCCCCGTGGGGTTGCGGCGGGCCCCAGGGGTGGTCGCCAGTGGGGGTCCCAGGAGAGGTCCTTCAGAGTCGGCGGCACTGGCCGTAAGCCCTTCGCAATCCCAAATGCCCCCCCTCCCAGCTCCCTGCTCGGATTGGGCGCCAGGCCTAAGTAAGTCGGGCCTGTCCCCCTACAGGGGGATTTTGGACGAAAAATAAAAAGTACAAAACACATGCTAAAAAGATGCCCAAACATACTCAAAAAACTCATACCCAGACTACTTGTTTGATTCTTTTTGAATATTCCCCCTGTAGAGGGACAGGCCCGACTTGACGCCCTGGCGTCGGGCCTCTCACTGCGCTCCATGGGGGGGACGGCCGGGCGGCCCCCAAAAGCAAGGCCCTCGGAGCCCGAAGAGGCCTCGCGGAGCCCCCAAGGCAGCTCCTCGCGAGAGAAGCCCGCAGGCAGTGTCCGCAGGTCGAGGGGCTGGAGTCGGCAGCGGCCCTGGCGAGCGAGGTCGCCCAACTTAGGGGAACAAAAAATGACATAAACATAAAAACTCGGAGGTCCGCGCGGATTTCTCGGATCGGCGCTGGGGCCCCCCTCCCTGGGGGCGGCGCCGGAGGCGCCGCCGGGGGGCCCCAGCGCCGATCCGAGAAATCCGCGCGGACCTCCGAGTTGTTATGTGTATGCCACTTGTTGTTCCCCTGGAACATGTTCTAAGACCGAAAACCATGTTCTTAGAACAAGAGCCCGATGTGCTAAAACAAGGCAATCCCAGCAAGAGATGTTCTGAGAACACTTCGTGGAAACTACAGAAAAAGGTCCTTAGAACATTGTTTGGTGGGACTTTGAACGAGCTGGGACGCTTCGCCACTGCTTGAATCGTCTCGGACCCCATCACGGGAGGCCTCGACTCCGGCACCTGGCAGCACCAGGCCGGCACTCACGGCGTTCATCCTCGACTTGCCGTCGCTCTGACGTCCATTTCCCGTGCATGTTTCGGTTTCGTGCGCGTTTTGTTTTGTTGCTCGATGGTCCTCCATGGTCCTCGCCGAAAAAAAACAAAGCACACGTCCGAGCGATGCCCAGTCGAAGGCCCGCGCCGGGGCCGCTGCGGCGTCGGCACGGCCCTGCCGCAGGCAGGGGACGGACGGCCGGGCCGGCGAGAGGGGCGGCACGGGAGGCGCGCACTGGAGGCCAGGGCTGAACCTACACGGTGTCTTCCGTTTTCGTTTTGCTTTCGTTCTCCCTCGCTTGTGTTTGGCTGCAAAACGAAGCCGAAACGAAAACGCCCGACGAGATCACCAAAAACACCGTCCTATAGTAGAGGCCTCCTAGATGGGGTCCGAGTAGTTGGGGTCGAAGGATCGCGCCGCATCGCCAATGCATCGCCGATGTATCGGCGATGCATCGGCGATGCATCGGCACTCCATCGGCGACGTCGGCGTGGGGAAACACGGGCCCCACATCGAGCCGCATCGTCGATGCATCGGCCATGCGGCGCGATCCTCCGACCCCATCTACTCCGACCCCATCTAGGAGGCCTAGATATAGGTCCAGCCCTGCTGGAGGCACGGGCGGCGGGGCCGCAGCGCAGGCAGGGCGCGAGCGGGGCCGGGGGAGCTCTGCCGGGTGGCCACGGCATTGGGAGCTTGACGGGGTCGCACGGGCGCCTACTGTAGGTTTGCGCGGCGTCGACGCGCGCAAAGGTTTTTGACACCGCGTCGATCCTTCAACCTTGAATCGATCGCGGCCCCGATCGTTCAAGGTTGAATTCCGTCGGGCCCGACGGCGTTACAGTGTCCCTCGGTGCTTGAGCGTCGTTCTATCATGAGGCGTTCAACCTTGAACGCCTTCGCTGGCGTCGCGGGCGCGCCATCGCCGCACGAACCTACCGTAGTCGATGGGGTGCGGCGGGGCCCCACCAAAAGAAAACACAACTCCGGGCTGCGCCTCTGCAAAGTCAGGCCAGCTCCAACTAACCTCCCACGAAACATCTCCAACTTAGGGAAACGAGCTCTATACACCGACTCTTTTTCCCACACTGCGCTGATATTCGCACAGGAACGCGGATCCTGGTGTATACGGGATCCTGGTGTATACATTCTCGCTGTTTCCCTGGGAAGACGGGGGAACAGTATACACCACACCACCCCGACGCCGTCCCCGACCCTCAAAAAAACGTGGGATTGAAAAACCAACCCGCCACTGGCAATGTATATGTCCCAGTTTGCGGCAACTGCAACCCACGACAGCACCCCCTGAAACCTACAAAGCCAGATGAAGCCTTATGCTGTTCCCATCCTACTTGAGGACCACATCCCAGAAATAATTTCGAGCACCAGGAAACGTGTCAAAAGGGTGTCGAAACAGTGTCGGGTGAGTGTCTCCCAGGGCCCGACGTGTGAAAACCCTTGAGTTTCGGCAATTCTGGGGGGGCTCGAAATTCTTTCTGGTGTTCAAGGCCAACGTAGGTTGGAACATCGTAAGCCATACGTTGAGGAACTCTGAGGGTCGAACAGAGGCTCCCACACGTGGCCACCTGGCCCGCCTGGGAGGCGGCAGGGGGGCCCGGGCAGCAAAAAGGTTGGCGAGAGCCTGGGAGCAGGAGCGCACGGGAGGTGAGCTCAGCCAGGTCGGGCATGCCCCCCTGCAGGCGGATGTTGGAACGAACGAACGAAGCCACGCCCTGACGGCGCATTGGCACACATATGGAAAATGCTAATCACATGCGTGCCAGCATGCAAAGAAAAACTAAAAGCTGCACAGTGCCTGGGGGGACCGTCGTTGTAGCCTCTGTTCCCAACGAGCTGCGATGGGGGAACTGCGCCCGGCGGATTCTGGAAGAAGGACCAAAAAGTCACAGAATGCCCCAGCGTAGTCAAACATGGTAGAAAAGTCATCCCCGTTCTGATGTTATCGACGATGTTTGCACACTCCTCCTGTAGAGGGGCATGCCCGACTCAGGGGTGCAGTGGGCGGGACAGGTGGGAGCGGCAGTGCAGGCGGCGCGAACCTCTGCGTCACCCAGCTTCGCGCTCTCGCACCCCGCGAGGGAGCGAAATCATCCTCGCGCCCTCGCGCCCTCGCGCCCCCCTCCTCCTCCTCCTCCTCCCCCTCCTCCTCCTCCTCCTCCTCCCCCTCCTCCTCCTCCTCTCCTCCTCCCCCTCCTCCCCCTCCTCCTCCTCCTCCTCCTCCTCCTCCTCCCCCTCCTCCTCCTCCTCCTCCTCCTCATCCTCCTCCTCCTCCTCTTCTGGTGGTTCTTTTGGGCGCTCCTGGTGGTGCCCGTCGCCACGCTGGCGTGGGAGGGGGGGTCCTGAGAGGAACGGGTCCTGGAGGCCTGGGGCCTTCACCGCGACCAGCTGCTCGTCCTGATCGCTCTTTGACAGTCTCGGAGGCCGTGGAGGGCCCCAGGCGCCCGGACACGGCGGAATGCGAAGAACCTCGGGAGTCGTTTCATTCGGGACCCGTCTGTGCGGGCAATACTTCTAAGTATCCATATCCAATGCGTCTTGACTTTCTCGGAAGGGGCGCTGCAAGGCCGAGGCTCACTGGCTATGGATAAACTGCGAGCCTGTGGGGGCCAGATTTGAACACATGCCCAGTGCGCCTCCTGTTCCAGGGGAAGAGAGCCCGAAACTCCAAGACGCACTGGATGTGGACATAGACACTGCCAACTGGCCATGACTGGGGGAGCTGTTGTCCTTACCCCCCTGGGGGAACCCGTCGCATCGACGATCTCTCGAGAGGGGTGTCGAAATCGATGGGCCCCCCAGGGGGGAATGGACCACAGCCCCCCCAGCTGTGGCTGGCCTGCACTGCCCGCGGCCTGCTCCTCGTCAACCACGGCGGCATGCAGCCCGAGGAGCCCACAGGGAGGCCCTCTCGGGGTCCCTGGCGGGCGGGTGTCGAGCGTCGGCGGCCCCTCCCCCTTCCGAGGATGGCTCGGTGGGAGCTTCCGGGAACGGCTCGGAGGCTCTCGAGATGACTGAAGGGGCCCAGGGACACACAAATCAATACACACAAATAACAACCTTCCCCATATTTCCCCATATTTTCTGGGTTTTGTCTTCCCCCTCACTTCCCATTTTTCCCCATATTTTCTGGAGAATTTACAATTACTTGTGTTTGTTGTTGTCCACTCCTGACTCTCCGCGGGCGAGAGGCAATCCCGAGAGGCCCCATGCCTGCCTGCTAAGTCAGCTGGCGGATTTCGGAAACCCTGAACCCAAACGCGTTTTCATATCTTGGGGGCGCATGTTCTTTACTTCCGCCGACTTCCGCCAAACCTCCGCCAGCTTCCGCAGGCGGGGGCGGCCTCGTCCTCCGCCGACCTTCCGCCGCCTTCCGCGGCGGAAGAGATGACAACCCGTTCTATCCTCGAAGGCAAGGCCTTTTTTTGGAACGCCTCAGATGGCGAAAGCTGCTCGCTTTGGAAATGTGACCCCCCGCTCCGCGCCGCTGCTCAAGGGCAGCGTCTGCTCTGCAGTGGCGGGCGCAGCCGAGCCAAGCAGGCGCAAGCGCGCGGGACAGGCGCAGTGAGGGCGCCTCTCGGAGGTTCTGGGCAGGCGAGGAAGCCTGCATGACTCACTCAAAGTTTCAATATGGCCAGCAGGCTCGTGGTGCCTATGCAGAGATGGGGGATAGACAAAATGCTCTCCTGAGGGTGTGCAGCTGGTCGACGCAGATGTCACACGACAGGCCCTCGGTGGATTCGTCGCGCTTTTTTTTCCGTGCTTCCTTGCCTTCCTGGTCCTACTCCTGCCCCCTTCAACCGAGTGTTATGACTCCCACTGCCATGTCCAAAGGGCTGCTCGATACCACGACCCCGTTCCATACCAGAGCCTCCCCGGTCGTCGTCACAGCCACAACTTTTAACCGCTGGAAAAGGCTCGCAAGGCAGCTCGCTGGAGACTGCCCTTCCCCCATTCCGTCCCCGTGACCATCTCTGAACAGCATCCTTATCCCCAGCCTCCCTGTCCCTTCTCCTCACATCCCTCCAGCCCTTTAGGGCGTAGGTGGTTCAAGGAGTTAGTTTTTCAACCCTCCTATTCCCTCCCCGTCGGGGCGAGGTGTACCACAACGCCTAATCAATACGGACCCCTTGCCGTTCTCGGGGCCCCTTGCCCACTCAACCAGCCGCCAACCAGGACACACCCCCTGCCATACCTGCCTAAAAAAAAACAATTCAGGTTGCGCGTGGCAGCGACATCTGTATCTTGAGCGGGACCCCGCAAGCATTTTTTCACATTTCCGCCCGCACGGATACAAAAAACACGCTGCGTGAACAGAAACTGTTGAAGGTCCGTGTGTAATCGTTGGATCCGCGCCAGCTCCAAAAGGGAACCTGAAGGGCCCCTTCAGAGCTCTCATCTTCACCATCCATTTACTTGCTATCGCTCGATCGTCCATTTCCCATGCATGTTCCGACTTTGTGCGCTCGCTCTTCCGCAAGATGACCCAAGATGCTCCACGATAGTCCTCGCAAAGAAACAACGCACACGTCCGAACGACGCCAAGTTTAGGCCGCCCCCCATTACCACCCGCCCGACTGGCGCACCGTGCGCTGGGTGGGTCTGCTGGGGTGTCGCCTGGCGCCTGGCTGGCAGCTGGTCGTGGGTGCCTCGTGGGCGGCCCGTGCGCTGGGTGGGTCTTGGGTTTCGCCCGGTGTCAAGTTGGTGGACGGTCCTGGGCGCTTCGTGAGCTCCCCGTGCGACAGCTGGAGCCGCAGGAGTTTCGCCTGGCGCCTGGTCGGTGCCCAGTCGTTAGCGCCTCGCGAACGCGCCTGCTGCGCATCAAGGGAACAACGCCGCACTGGTTGGGATTCACGCTGGCAAGCATGTGTTGACGAGGGTTATGGGAGTGTGAGCAGAACGTTCCGCTGTGAGCTGCACTTTCGACCCGTGGCCACAACCAAGGCAAACCCATGGAGCGTGCACACGCCATTCACCATGCTGCCCACCCCATCCCACTTTTCTATGGCGTCGAACTACGATGGTGGAGGTGTCGACATAGTCCCTGCTGTGTGCTGCCACATGCTCTGGCGCACCTGGCGCAATCTGAACGCGCAGGTGGCGCACGTCGAACACGTGGCGATTCGGGCGTACCAGGCGCGCATGGCACGCTGAGGCCATTGGGGCACCTGGCGCACCTGGTGCGGGAAGCGCACCTAGTACACGTGGCGCACCTCGCAAGAATCGCATGGGAACATGACACGAGGACCTCCTCCGCAGATCGTTGGAGTGCCCATGGTGGCCCAAGGAGGCCCAAGAAAGCACAACGTGGCCTCTGAGATGGTCAAGGATGGCTCAAGATGGCTACCAACGCCTCGAGCATGCCTTCAAAAGGGCCCCTGGGCCGCCCCAAGACGGGCGGCTCCCCATCGAGAACCACATCATCAATCAACTAGCATGTGCACACCATTGTGATAGGCCTTATTGACGTTGCGCTTACGATGGGCTTCTGCGGCCCCAAGGCGGCTCCAAGATGGCCCCGAGCCCCAACGCGGGGAAGAGGGCTCTAAGACTTCCCCCCAAGCGGGCTTCATGAGAGGAGCCCCAAGGGAACCAACAGAAGGCCCCAAGAGGGCCCACGTAAGCTACACAAAAGCTTCTGCCTCGAAACGACCGAGGCGGCATTTCTGAAGAACTCCCGCGTCTGCATTGGCTGATCCCGAGCGTCGGTTGGACAGCTGCACCCACGCGTGGCTCCACTGCTCGCTCTTGTAAGTCCCCGATCAAAGCAACTCGCACGGGTATGGATTCCGAATGAGCTAGTGGGGATACGGGGAAGCGACACTAACATCCTCCTACCCGTTCCTCCTCCTCCTCCTCCTCCTCCTCCGCCTCCTCCTAATTATCATCACACTCATACTCCTCAACAACATGATCATTGAAATTACCGTCAACGCCATCATCATCATCATCATCATGATCATCAGCAGCATCACCATCATCAGTAAGCGTAATTATTATTGCAACCCTCAGCTTCCGCACCTGACTATGAGCATCAGTAGCATCAGCATCATCATCGTCATCATCAGCATCAGCAGCATCATCATCATCGTCATCAGCATCCTTATCCGCATCCTCATCATCACCATCATCATCACCATCATCATCATCATCATCATCATCATCATCATCATCATCATCATCATCATCATCAGTAGCATCATCACCATCACCATCCTCGCCATCGTCATCATCGGCATCCTCAGCACCGCCACCACCAGCATCGTAAGCATCAGCACCAGCATCATCGACATCACCAGCACAATCATCCTCAGTATCATCATCATCATGATCATCAGCATCATCATCACCATCCCATCACCACCACAAGCATCAGCACCTTCAACATCATCATCATCATCATCATCATCACCACCACCATCATCATCATCATCATCATCATCATCATAATCATCATCATGATGATCATCATCACCATCATCATCAGCAGCATCATCATTAGCATCAGCATCAGCATCAGCATCAGCATCAGCATCAGCATCAACATCATCATCCCAAACCCTGCTCCAAATCCGCCTCCGTCCGACTCCGTCCCCTCTTTACCCTGCACTCTCGTATCCCACCCCTCCTCACCCTCCCCAGGTCTAGCCCTCCATCCCCTTCCCCGGGGAGCCGGCATAGAGGCACACGGAGGCGCGAGGAGAAGAGGAGGCAGGCCAGCCAGGTGCAGACGTGCCACATCCGACATCCGACCCCTGCTACACATCCTTTCCCATTGCGCTGATGATCTCTCTAGACGCGGACGCGTGTCATGGTGGACCTGTAACTCTTAAAAGGGCCCCGTCGCGCTATGCGAAATCGGAACAGTTGAGCTGAGCTGCGTACATCGGAGGAAGGAGAAGGAGAAGGAGGAGGAGACGGAGGAGGAGGAAGAAGACGGCGAGGACGAACAGCAACAGCGGGAGAACGCTGGGGCGAATGGAGGGAATGAACGGAAGGAGCAGGAGAACGCGGCGGCGAGAGCGCCACGCTGAACGACGAGAGCAAAGCACCAGTCCTAAAGTGAGGCCGACGCTGCAGCGGCAGCACCATATTGAGACACCCAGCACGTGCCGATTGATCAAACATACAGAAGACGAAAGACAACACTCATGAAACCCTCTGCAAAAACAATTAGCCTGGCGAAGAACCCAACCATATGCAGTTGTCAGTACCGCAGCTGCGGGTTTCATCTTCAGTGGAACTCCCCATAGGACTACGGAACGTGTGAGGGGTATGCCGAGATGGGTGCCACTGGGGCATTCGGCGAAGCTCCCTATGGGGACATGAAACACGCGCGGGGCGTGCCGACATGGGTGGCGGAAGCGCATGTGAGGGCCGCCACTCGGGCCTCCAGTGGAGTTCCCTATGGGTCCCCGATACATGATGTTGCTGCGGGGGGGGAGCCGGGATGGGTGGCGGAGACGCATGTAAGCGCCGCTACTGGGGCCTTCGGTGGAGCTCCCTATGGGGCCACGAAGCGCGTGAGGGGTGTACTGGGATGTGTGGCGGGGACGCATGTGAGCGCCGCCACTGGGGCCTTCGGTGCAGCTCCTCTATGGGGCCACGAAACGTGTGAGGGGTGTGCCGAATTGGGTGCGGGTGGTGACGCATGCGGGCGGTGCCACTGGGGCCTTCGGTGGAGCTCCCTATGGGGCCACGAAACCTGTTGTTGTGAGGGGCGTGCCGGGATGGGTGGCGGGGACGCATGTGAGCGCGGCCGCTGGGGCCTTCGGTGGAGCTCCCTATGGGGCCACGAAACGTGTGAGGGGTGTGCCGTGGATGATGGGGCCACGAAACCTGTCAGGGATGTGCCGAAATGGGTGTGCGGGACGCATGCGCATGCGAGCGCCGCCACTGGGGCCTTCGGTGGAGCTCCCTATGGGGCCACGAAACGTGCGAGGGGTGTGCCGAATTGGGTGTGGGTGACGCATGCGGGCGGCAGCACTGGGGCCTTCTGTGGGGCTCCCTATGGGGCCACGAAACGTGTGAGGGGTGTGCCGAATTGGGTGTGCGGGACGCATGCGGGCGGCAGCACTGGGGCCTTCGGTGGGGCTCCCTATGGGGCCACGAAACGTGTGAGGGGTGTGCCGAATTGGGTGTGCGGTGACGCATGCGGGCGGCAGCACTGGGGCCTTCGGTGGGGCTCCCTATGGGGCCACGAAACGTGTGAGGGGTGTGCCGAATTGGGTGTGCGGGACGCATGCGGGCGGCAGCAGTGGGGCCACGGCCGACGCAGCACTGGGGCCTTCGGTGGGGCTCCCTATGGGGCCACGAAACGTGTGAGGGGTGTGCCGAATTGGGTGTGCGTGACGCATGCGGGCGGCAGCACTGGGGCCTTCGGTGGGGCTCCCTATGGGGCCACGAAACGTGTGAGGGGTGTGCCGAATTGGGTGTGCGGGACGCATGCGGGCGGCAGCACTGGGGCCTTCGGTGGGGCTCCCTATGGGGCCACGAAACGTGTGAGGGGTGTGCCGAATTGGGTGTGCGGGACGCATGCGGGCGGCAGCACTGGGGCCTTCGGTGGGGCTCCCTATGGGGCCACGAAACGTGTGAGGGGTGTGCCGAATTGGGTGTGCGGGACGCATGCGGGCGGCAGCACTGGGGCCTTCGGTGGGGCTCCCTATGGGGCCACGAAACGTGTGAGGGGTGTGCCGAATTGGGTGTGCGGGACGCATGCGGGCGGCAGCACTGGGGCCTTCGGTGGGGCTCCCTATGGGGCCACGAAACGTGTGAGGGGTGTGCCGAATTGGGTGTGCGGGACGCATGCGGGCGGCAGCACTGGGGCCTTCGGTGGGGCTCCCTATGGGGCCACGAAACGTGTGAGGGGTGTGCCGAATTGGGTGTGCGGGACGCATGCGGGCGGCAGCACTGGGGCCTTCGGTGGGGCTCCCTATGGGGCCACGAAACGTGTGAGGGGTGTGCCGAATTGGTGTGCGGGACGCATGCGGGCGGCAGCACTGGGGCCTTCGGTGGGGTCGTGTGGCTGGGCACGCATGCGGGCGGCAGCACTGGGGCCTTCGGTGGGTGTGGGGGACGCATGCGGGCGGCAGCACTGGGGCCTTCGGTGGGGCTCCCTATGGGGCCACGAAGCGTGTGAGGGGTGTGCCGAATTGGGTGTGGGGCACGCATGCGGGCGGCAGCACTGGGGCCTTCGGTGGGTGTGCGGGACGCATGCGGGCGGCAGCACTGGGGCCTTCTGTGGGGCTCCCTATGGGGCCACGAAACGTGTGAGGGGTGTGCCGAATTGGGTGTGCGTGACGCATGCGGGCGGCAGCACTGGGGCCTTCGGTGGGTGTGGGGGACGCATGCGGGCGGCAGCACTGGGGCCGTCGGTGGGGCTCCCTATGGGGCCACGAAGCGTGTGAGGGGTGTGCCGAAATGGAGGATGATGACGATGATGATGGTGGGAGGAGGGAGGAGGGGGAGGAGGAGGAGGAGAGGAGAGGAGAGGAGGACGCGGGGCACCGTCTCTTCAAAACGAGGACCCAACACCACAGGATGGCTGGGAATAAGCGGAGCGGGAGCGTGCTGCTCCACGGCCACCTCCGGGGGAGGAAGAAGAGTCGTACTCAAGGCAGGGTGCCAACAACGATTAGCATGGGGGGAACGGGTCCTGAGGGCAGGCCCTGGACCCTGAGACCTTCCCCCAATTTATGTTGCTCCCATCGTACTTAAGGACCACATCCCAGAAATAATTTCAAGCACCCGGAAAAGTGTCGAAAGAGTGTCAAAACAGTGTCGGGCGAGTGTTTCCCAAGGCCCGACACGTGAAAGCCAAAGAGTTTTGGGGTGCTTTTCTGGCGCTCGAAATTCTTCCTGGCGGTCAAGGCTAGAGTAGGTTGGAGCATCATAGCCCTGAGACCTTCCCCCAGGACGAGTCCCTCATCCTCCATCGCTTTCTGACAGTCCCGGGGCCCGTGGAGGGCCCCGAGAGCCCAGAAAGCTGCGACAAGCCTCAGGACTCGATTATCCCTCAGGACCTCACAGCACACTGCAACCCCTAACACACATGGCAACACTTATGAACAGCTGCGACGGCTTTGACATGATATTACGTGGTACTTGCACAGTGATTGCTTGACGCTTGCCCCACGATTGCCTACTACCTGCAAGTCCGCCAAGATCTGTCAACCTGGCGTCCTAATCCATCTTCTCCCCCACGCGCGTGGGTGCCCGCCCCGAGAAATGCTCGCCGTACCTGGTACGGCGCCGAAACCTCTCGAACCGGGGCGGCAGCTGGAGGGAGGGAGGGAGGGAGGCAGGGAGGGAGGGAGGGAGGGAGGCAGGGAGGGAGGCCCGCCTCCCTCCACGGAGGGAGGCGGGGCCTGAGGATGAAGCAGGCCGGGAAAGGAGGAGGAGGAGGCGGGCCTGAGGAGGAGGGGGAGGAGGAGGAGGAGGGAGGAGGGAGAGGAGGAGGAGGAGGAGGAGGAGGAGGAGGGAGGAGGGGGAGGGGAGGAGGGAGGGAGGAGGAGGAGGAGGAGGAGGGGGAGGGAGGAGGAGGAGGAGGAGGAGGAGGAGGAGGAGGAGGAGGAGGAGGAGGAGGAGGAGGAGGAGGAGGAGGAGGAGGAGTGCCAGCCACGACGCCGACGATGACGGCGAGGCCGGCCGCGGCGGAGCCGGCGGCGGAAGCAGCGCCGACGCGGACGCGGAGGCCGCCGAGGGCGGCGGCGACGCTCCCCGGGTGTTGCCAGAGGCGGCCCTGGCCCTATGTGTAAGACAGGCCGGTCCCCCATACAGGGGGATTTTCGACGAAAAAAAAATAGCTCAAACATTCCCCCAAATGGGTAGAATAATGTTTTAAAAAATAGTCCCCAGACTATTTTTGGACCGTGTGTGGACTATTCTGGGTGCATTTTTTCCCTACCCTCCTCGGTTGGGTTCTTGTTTTGAAGAGAGCAGTGGGGTCGCGTCTCCTCCTCCTCTTCTCTCCTCCTTCTCCTCAAGCCTCCTGTGTGCTTTCGTCTCCTCTTCTCTTGCCAGTGGTGCCTGCGAACTGTGAAGCCGGCATGCCTGGGGGGCTGCGATCAGCGAAACATTCGCCACTTTCGAGGGCTGCTGGGAGGGCCAGCATAGAGGGTACTTGCCGCAGACTCAGATTGTAGCGCGCCATCCCTGGGGGCTGCGATCTGCGAAACTGTCGCCACTTTCGAGGGCTGCTGGGTTCTTGCCGCAGACTCAGATTGTAGCGGACCGCTCCTGGGGGGCTGCGATCTGCGAAACAATTGCCACTTTCGAGGGCTGCTGGGAGGACCAGCATAGTGGTACTTGCCGCAGACTCAGATTGTAGCGCGCCATCCCTGGGGGGCTGCGATCTGCGAAACTTTCGCCACTTTCGAGGGCTGCTGGGAGGGCCAGCATAGTGGGTACTCGCCGCAGACTCAGGTTATGGCGCGCCATCCCTGTGGGGCTGCGATCTGCGAAACTGTTGCCACTTTCGAGGGCTTGTGGGAGCCAACGGGCGAGCTAGGCTTCGCCCGCTTTGCATTAAATATAACATGACGCAGGCAGCGCTGCATCTTCAGCGCCTTGCTGGAAAAAGCGTGTGGTCTTCTTTCTCGCCTCACCTCTCTCGTCGTGGTCCCCTTCCCCTTGTAACCTTCTCTCTGCTGCTGCGGCTTCCCCTGCCCCTCGTCTGCACCCCCGTCCTTCTTCGAGCGTAGACCCTACAATCTCGTCCATTTGATCGTTACCCTCTGGGTCGTGCACTATATGCGCATCCCATCTAGCGCGCACATACACACATCGCGTTTGCACTGTCGTATACTTGCCGATTTTTGCACCGGGCCACTTGATGCAAATGGGTTGGGTACGTCGCAGGATAATTATTTGTCGTCGAAAATCCCTCTGTAGGGGGACAGGCCCGACTCAAATCCTGCTTAAGGACCGCATCCCAGAAATAATTTCGGGCACCCCAAAAAGTGTCGAAGGAGTGTCGAAAGTGTGTCGAAACAGCGTCGAAAGAGTGTCTCCCAGGGCCCGACACGTGAGAACCCTCGATTTGTGTGGTGCTTTCTTGGCGCTCGAAATTCATTCTGGCGATCAAGGCTAGATAAAGGGGAACTGGGACACACAAATAAATACACACAAATAAAACTGTCCCCCATATTTTCTGGGTTTTTGTCTTCCCCCCCACTTCCCATATTTTCCCATATCTTCTCGGAATCGCCGATGAATTGTGTCTGTGTGTTTCTTTCCCTCCTGGCTAGAGTAGGCTGGAACATCCTAGCCCTGGCCCACGGTGGCCCCGGCTGCTCCCGAGCAGGGCGGGCCCCACACAGCCTCCGGAGGCACCCGAGCAGGGCCCCGAGCAGGGCCCCAGAGGGCGCTGGGGAGCGGAGCGAGACGCCGGGGGGCGCCCGGGGCCCGGGCCGCTCCCTGGCAGCGCCCGAGGTGCGGACGCCGGCGCGGACGAGGCCGAGGACGAGGACGAGGGCGAGGGCGACGGCGAAGTGGGTCGGCCACGGCGGCGGCGGCGGGGTGCCAGGAGACAGGGAGCGTGGGGAGCGGGGGGCGGGGGGATCGAGGGCGGAGAGATCGGGCGTCGAGGGGTCGGGGCACCGCGAGATCAGGAAGGGATCGCGAATCGATCAGCATGGGGGCAGCGGGCCCTGGGGGAAATGGTCCTGGACCCTGGGGTCTTCCCCCAGGACCAACTCTGTCTGATAGAATTGTCTTCTGACAGCTCCGGCGCCCGTGGAGGGCCCCGGGAAAGCGAAAACTGAGGAAACCCCCAGGACCACGTTTCCCGAATAGGAAAAACACGCATGAACATAAGCTTTTGGCGCTCCGCGTGGGTTTCTTGGACCTGCGCTGGACCCCCTCCATGGCGCGCGGAGCGCGCCAGGGGCGGTGCCGGAGGCGCCGCCGGGGGAGCCCAGCGCGAATCCAAGAAATCCGCGCGGAGCGCCCAGAGTTTATGTTTATGCTGTTTCTGGCCATCGCTCGGACGCGCATTCCCTGCATTTTTGTTTGGTTCCGTGCGATGTTTTTTTCGCAGGATGACCCAGGAGGCTCTGCAAGAATCCCCGCCGAGAAAAAAGTGCACACGTCCGAGCGAGACCAAGGTCTTGTCTTCTTCGACCTAAGAACCCGTTTCCCCCATGGCGGGCCGAGGGCCCAGGGGCGGATGCTCCGCTGGCGCTGGCGTCGAGCGGCGAAGGCCCCCCGCCCGCGCCTGCTTCGCGGAGTCGGACACCAGCGGCGAGGCGCCAGCCTGCCGCCCGCCGCTGCCGCAGGCCGCCAGCAGCGGCAGCGGCGGCGTCGGCGGCGTCGGCAAGGTCGGCGGCGGCGGCGGCGGGCGGCGTCGTCGTCGGGGTCGTCGGGGTCGTCGGGGTCGTCGGGGTCGTCGTCGTCGTCGTCGTCGTCGTCGTCGTCGTCGTCGTCGTCGTCGTCGTCGTCGTCGTCGTCGTCGTAGTCGCCGCCGCCGCTGCCTGCGTCGCTGTCGTTGGCGCGGTCGCCGCCGTCGGCGTCGCCGCCAATGGCGGTGTCCGCATCATCGTCGAGGTCGTTCTGGATTGAGGACCCCCGGGTTGGCGCTCCTTCGACCCCCCTGGCGCAAACGTGCGAGCGCTCCTCTGCGCCTGCTGGCCAGCTGTCCTTTTCGATCCCCGAGGAGAGAGGGGGAGAACGAGGAGGATGATGATGAGGAGGAGGAGGCGGAGGAGGAGGAGGAGGAGGAGGAGGAGGACGAAGGGGAGGAGGATCATGAGGAGGAGGAGGAGGAGGAGGAGGAGGAGGAGGAGAAGGAGGACATCATGGGAGGAGAAGGAGGAGGAGGAGGAGGAGGAGGAGGAAGAACAGGAGGAGGAGGAGGAATAGGAGGAGGAGGAGGCGGAGGAGGAGATCGTGTAAGCGTCTAGGGCCTAACTTTTGAATCCCTGGAGGCCCAGGGGATGGAGCCAAAGGGATACAGGCGATCCCTTTTGCGGAGCCTACAGGGGCTTCACGGGTCCAGGCTTCTGGAGGTTCCGGTGAGCCGTCTGACGTTGCTGGTTCTTGCTGCGCCAGTGGAAGCCTCGAAGGTGAGAGGATGTTTCACGATTCGGGTTCCCCGGAGTCTCTGGAATCCTCCAGAATAGAAAGGGTGGGGGACACTTTTTCCTTGGCCCTGGAGGCCCCCCGAGGCCCCCAAAGGCACCTGGGCACCTCCCGCGGCCTTGGGAGAGCGCCTACCGACCTCGGATCTCGTCGTCTTTGGGGGGTGTTTCACGACTTGGGTTCTTGGAGCCTTCCTATTTGGTGGGGTCATCATCTTGAAAAGACAGCGCCCCGCGTCCCTCCTCCTACCTTCCTTCCTCCTCCCCCTCCCCCTCCCCCTCCCCCCTTCCCTTTAGCACCCAGACCGGCGTTTCGTGGCCCCGTAGCGAGCTCCACCGAAGGTCCGCATGCGCCCCCCCCACCCAAAACAGCGGTTCGTGGACCTAGAAGGGGGCTCCACCGAAGACGACGCCTACCACTGCGGCATTCGCAACAGCAGGCTAAATGTGGCCTCCGGAGTCTCCAGTCCTCAAGAATTGGAAGAGGAGGAGGAGGAGGAGGAGGAGGAGGAGGAGGAGGAGGAGGAGGAGGAGGAGGAGGAGGAGGAGGAAGAGGAGGACGAGGAGGAGGAGGACTTCAAGTGATATGGCTTAAGGGGCACCATTTGACGCGAGGGTACATGCCACGGGATACCCGGAGTGGCACAACGCTGCCGCGCCCGCAACGGCAGGACGGCCGAGCTTCGGCCATTTATGCGGACCACGTTCCCCGTCGGGTGCCTAACTTTGCCCTCGCTGCGAGGGCGGGATGCCGCACGGCCCCCTGGAGACAGGGGCGGGCATCCTAGCTCTAGGCTCCACGTTGTGGACGCCAGCGTCCGTTAACCGAGGGTGGCCTTCCAAGCCAAAGCTGGCTCCCACAGGATACCAGGACTGGCAGACAGCTGCCGCGCCCGCAACGGCAGGATGGCCGAGCTCCCGCCATCTACGCGGACCAGTTTCCTCGAATGCCCAGCTGTGCCCTCTCTGCGAAGGGTTGGATGTCAGGCCAACCAAAGAAAAGGTTTAGGCACCCTGGCTGCGGGCTCGAGATGTCGGCAAGGGGGGGGGAACTGGGCAAGGCTATCAAATAAGAAACGTGACTCACAAAACCGCTGTACGACGAAAGAGAAGCTCCCAGGGATTCTGAAAAGCACCCTCCCCGTTGCGAGCCCGAACCCCGTCCTCCCGCCCCCTTCGGAACGCCGCCTTTGGACGCCAGCGCCTGTCCATCAACAAGGGTGGGGTGGCCATCCAAACCAAATCTGGCTCCCACGGGATACCAGTAGTGGCGTACAGTTGCCGCACCACCGACGGCGGGATGGCCGAACCTCGGCAGTCTATGCGGACCACGTTCCTCGTTGGGTGCTTAACTTTGTCCTCGCTGCGAGGGCAGGATGCCGCAGGGCCCCCTGGAAACAGGGGCGGGCATCCGATCTCGAGGCTCGAGGTTGTGGATGCCAACGCCCGTCAACCGACAGGGGTGGCCATCCAAGCCAAAAGTGGCTCCCACAGGATACCAAGAATGGCAGACAGCTGCCGCGCCCGCGACGGCAGGACGGCCGAGTTTTGGCTATCTACGCGGACCAGTTTCCTCGAATACCCAGCTGTGCCCTCGCTGCGAAGGGTTGGATGTCAGGCCCGCCAAAAGACAAGTTTACGCACCCTGGCTGCGGGCTACGAAATGTCGGCGGCGCGCCGACGGGGCCAGGGGGGAAACTGGGCAAGGCGATCCAATAAGAAACGTGGTTCGCAAAACCCCCCTTACGACGAAAGAAAAGTCCTCCCAGGGGCCAGGCCCCGTCCTCCCGCCCCCTTCGGAGCGCCGCCTTTGGATGCCAACGCCTGTCCATCGACAGTGGTGGCCATCCAAACCAAATTTGGCTCCCACGGGATGCCAGTAGTGGCATACAGTTGCCGCGCCCGCAACGGCGGGATGGCCGAACTTCGGCCACTTATGCGGGCCACGCTCCCCATCGGGTGCCTAACTTTGCCCTCGCTGCGAAGGCAGGATGCCGCACGGCCCCCTGGAGACAGGGGCGGGCATCCTAGCTCTAGGCTCCACGCTGTGGACGCCAACGCCGGTCGACCGACACGGGTGGCCATCCAAGCCACAGATGGTTCCCACAAGATACCAGGACTGGCAGCCAGCTGCCGCGCCCGCAGCGGCAGGATGGCCGAGTTCCGGCATTCTACGCGGACCAGGGAGGGGTGAGGAGAAAGAGCAGGAGGAGGAGGACTTGAAATAATATGGATTACGGGGCGCCTTCAATCCTGTACCACTCGATGTGAGGGTACATGCCCCGGGATACCCGTAATGGCATTACGTTGCCGCGCCCGCATCGGCAGGATGGCCGAGTTTCGGCCATCTATGCGGACCAAGTTCCGCTGGTGGCCGCTGGGGGAGCTGGCCGTCGTCGTCTCCTCCGACTTAAGGTCGGCGAAGTTTTCCTCGGATATCTCGGTGCCAAACAGCAGGGTCTGCGTGCTGCCTCGTAGCTTCTGGCGCTTGTTGAACCTTTTTCCTTCCTCTGGGTCGAGATTGTCCTCGCTACGATGAGGAGGAGGAGGAGGAAAAGGAGGAGGCGGAGGAGGAGGAGGAGGAGGAGGAGGAGGAAGAGGAGACGAGAAAGGGGAAAAGCACTCGTGTGGGGGGCCTTCTGACAAAGGAAGGGGTGCACTTTGGACGCCCCCATACCCTCTGACAAGCCTTCTCAGGCGCCCCCTGGGCCGTTCCGAGGGGCCCGCTGCCTCCTTGGAAGCTCTCCCGCCCCTCGCGCAATACCCCCGTTTACGCGCCGACGAAGATGGGGTCGGCAAGAACGTCGCACCCCGTCGGCGGTGCATCGGCGACGCCAGGCGGAGAAAGTCGGGCTCCCGATCCGCGAGGCGGTGGGATCCTCCGCCAGGGGCTTCTCCAGCCCTGTTTAAGGGTCCTGGAAGCACGGCGGCTCGACCTCCAAGGTGGGTGTTTGTTTCCTAAGCTCTGAAGATGTACTCCTCCATGTTGGGGGTCTTTGGAGGCTTTCACAATGCAGGAGGGGGTGCGCGCGTCTGTAGCTTCTGGCTGATTGCCCTCGTCCTCCTCGTGCTCCCGCTGCTGCTCCGTCCCCCTTCCTCCCCTCATCATCCGGAAGCCTCCAGAAGATGCCGGGAGACTCTGACAACTTCCAACAAATCATGCAAAGACCTTCGGAAACCATTGGATACCTGCAAGGTGTCGGAAAGCATCGAACTATATGTTGTTGCCGTCGCCGCTGACATTGTCGCAGCCGCAAACACAAATCGCCTACACGGCCGTTGCCGCTGGCGTCACCGCCGTTGCTGCTGACGTCGCCGTCGCCGATCCCGAGGCCACTGTCATCGTCGCGGTTGTCATACGACACTGCCACTCTGGCCGCAACCGTCGACGCCGTCGCCATCGCCGTCGCCGCCATCCCCGCAGCCGTCGCCGCCGTCACCGCAGACGCCGTCGCTGCCGCCCTCGCCGCCATCGCCGCCGTCGTCGCTGTCGCCGCCGTCGTCGTCGGCGCCTTCTCGCCGCCGGCGTGCCGGATGCGGAGGATGGACACGCGGGGGGCCTCGAGCAGCTCCGCGTCGGTCTCCTCGGCGGCGCGGCGCTTCCCCGGGCGGGCCCTGGTTCGAGGCTCGCCGCGGCGCTTCTGGATGCAGCGTGCGCATCAGAAGACCTCAGCGGCAAGTGCCTTCGTCGTCGTCGTCGTCGTCGCCGTCGGCGTCCTCTCATGATCAGCCCGCTTCGCATCGAGCAAAACACGGCCTGGCCCTGCCGACCGCGGCCCCCTCATCCTCCACCTGCTCCCTCCTCCCATGTCCTCTTGCTCCGCCTCCTGCTTCTCCTCGACGAAGAGGAGGAGGAGGAGGAGGAGGAGGAGGAGGAGGAGGAGGAGGAGGAGGAGGAGGAGGAGGAGGAGGAGGATCTCTCCTCCTGCAGTCCTTTCTCCTCACTATCTTTCCCTCCCCCTCCGTCCTGGGGAGGTGCGGGAAGGACCCTGACCCAAGCCGAGCTGTCAACGAAGCGCCGAGGGCGCCAGAGACAGCCGCGAGGCGCTAACAGATATGCGGAACTGCGGTGCTTCCCACATCGCCACTGAACCGAGGGCACGCGCCCAAGACGCGCCATGCACCCCTAGGGATAAAGACAACAAACAACACACCTGACCATCAATTTTCTGAGGGGGGACCACGCGGACTTCTTGGATAAACTCTGGACCCCCTTGCGGCGCTCCAGCACCGCCGCTGGCACGCCCCGCGCGCCATGGAAGTGCATGACGGGGTCAGACCACATCGGGGGTCGGAGAATGGCGCCGTATCGTCGACGCATCAGCGATGCATCGGCACGCGTGGAGAAAATCTGGTTCCACATTGAGCCGCACAGGCGATGCATCCGCGATGCGGCGGGGCTCATCAGACCCCATCCTTTCCGACCCCATCAGGTAGGCCCAGAGTTTTTGTTTTCAGGGGAGCGGAGAATGATCGAGGATCGAGGCCCTGTCCGTTTCTGAATATCCCCTTCGGCCCTAGCGCACGGCAGGTGGGTGAGGCCGTTGTCTCTGGATTCGGGCGTGTCGTCGAGTCGTCCAAACACATGCGTTGCGAGACGGGTGCGTAGCTACAACAGCAAAGGGGGGAGAAGGATCAAAGCAGAGCAGCACCAGGCGGTTCCAAAGTGCACCTCGCGCTAAAATGAAACACGGCCAGATCACTCAGAGTGGGAAGAACCGGACAAGGCGTTCGTGAACCACCCGACGGCACGAGACTCCTGCGGGGCCCAACGGGGGAGACCCCTGGCCGAATTGCGGGACCCTGAACTTGGGGACACCGGGATGGCCCGCTTCGGCAACCCGCCAGCGAAATGACCGGAGGCGAGCATTGAAAAAACACGCCCCAGCACAACCCCAACTAGGGTTCACGGACGAAAGACGACTCAGACGTCGGAAGCTTTCCAAGACCAGACCAGACGCCCTTCCCGCAGAAAGCTCTGGCCCAGGCGCAGCGCACGAAAAGCTTCACCGAGGGCCCGAGGACGCACAGCGTCGAGCAGACCCTCGGTTGGGGGGCACCAAAAAACACCTTCAATTTCTTGTCTCCGAAGGTGCGCTTAGGCTTCAGGACAGGAGCGGGGGCACGAGCCTGGATGGCGATGACAGATGCGTCCTGGAAGCGGCCCTGGGGAAGCAGATGAGCAGCTCTGGCGCCGCCACGAATGGCAGCCAAGCGTGCGCGGCGAAGCCTCTACCCCACGAGTCGGTCATCGCGCTGGGCGTTTCCTTGAAGCCGGCCTTCAGCAGCAACTTCTGAGTCTCACGTTCGGGACCGCCCCGAAAACGAGCACCTGGGAGGTGCTAGCCGTTCTGCCTGCGTTGCCCGCTATGCTGCTCCGCTGCGGAACGCCGAGCATGATCTGGAATTCGCGCCGGCCTTGCTTAGCGAGCCCCTTTTTCTTGTCGAGCCGGCAGGCTTTGATGCGCAAGTGGCGGCGCTGCTGCTGCAACTTGACGAACGCCTCCTGGCTCATGGTGACCTTCTCCAAGTGCGACGGGAAGCTCTGCTTGACCTGCGCGGGAATGTTTTTGGAGTCGGTCACTGCCCAACAAATGCATGCCGCGAGGACGCGCGGACACGGCTGATCACTCTGACGACCCTTTCCCCGCCGCTCCTTGCGACCTCGGCGCGCGAGCGACCCGCGTCCCTCATGACGTCGATGAAGGGGGCGCCTGGGGCCATTGACTGCTAGGCGCTTTTCTCATCTGGGCCCCCGTCGCCCACTCGCTTCGCGCTCGGCCCAGGGGCCGCGCTGGCTGCTCGATGTCCATCCGCCCAGACCAAAAATGGATCTTCAAAATGCTGCCGTAGATGGGAGATAGATAGCTGCCCCCCACAAAGAAATGAGCCTCGAGCAGAGGGCATGAGACTCGATGTCGAAAGCGGCGCCGCGCTGAAGCCTGCAGACGTCGGACATGAGCGATCATAGCACGCGGACGCACGCCGTCGCGCGGCTCCGGAGCCTTCCCCCGCAAACGCGGCACGCATTGCCAGCGGCGGCCTCCCACGCCAAAGCCCCGAGACCGCGGGCGGCCCGACCGCGGGTCATCCACGCCCTTCTCGCGAGAAATCAGTTCGAGCAGCCGTCGGCCGAACGCTGGGAGCTGTCTCCATGAGGGCGAACGCCGAGAGGGGCCTGCAAGGGGGCCGACCCCGGGTTCATTCCTGGCGGCGGGTTCCTGACTGAGCCACGGGGCACGGTTGACCAACTTGTCGAGCTCAACGAACAAGACTCTCAAGAATTCTTCCTCCAAGAAGGCGATAAGGGGCCCCGCTCCGTCGTTCCACGGAGAAACCGCGTCGGCCAGATAACCAGATCCAATCCATAAGCTGGCGAGGAAGCGGCGGGCGCGCTCGAGGGCGGCACTGGGCGCCTCGCATCCTGCGCCGCGGTGGCGCCGAGAAGCGAAGCGACGCAGGGCGCGGGATCACCCGCGAGAGCTCGAGGAAGGCCGACAAAAGGGGGAAGTTCGTCGTTTGGGGGCACGTCGCAACCGCTGCCCGCTCTCCTGAATGCGACGCTTAGCACATGCCAGCCCATCCTCCCAAAGTGCAATGAGCTGATGGGCCTCCCATCCCGTGTCATTGCCGCACAAGTGCTCTGTCCAGCAGCTCCGCGACCTCGTCGTAGCGACACCGTTCTGACCTCAGCCACTTGACACGAGTGCGGAGCAGCCGCTCCGCCTGGGAGAGCCAAGCCCCTCTGTTGCGTCAGCGCTAGGCGGGGGCTTCGTCAGGGCCTCGGGGGGCCTTGCCTTTCACCTGGTGAATGCGCTCGCCGTCCAAAACGGACGAAGCGAAGCTGGAGCTCGCGTTGCTGGCCCAACAATGGCCACACAGTGTCTGCAAGGTTCGTCTTAAGGCAAAGTGCTTGAAACGATGGCAAGCAGAGAATCCACGAGCTTGGCGTCTGCTACCCTGCCGGAATTACTTTCCAGCAGTCCCCGCGCTCGCGCATGTGCGCCTCCGGTGCGATCAGAATCCGGTCCATATCGTGTATAGATCCGCGCATGTCGGGCGATGCGGTGTCCTGGAAAGCGAATTTCGTTCGCGCGCGGGCTGGCAAATGGACTGGCACATGGCCCCGAGTCTCCTGGGCGGCGATGGCCGGGCGGCTGCGGCCCAACTTCAGAAGTGGGTCCGCTGATGCAATGCCAGCAAGCAAGAACCAGGGCGCGAAGTTGAAGTCGGTCTGAGAGCGGCCATGAGAAAAAACATTACGCCATCGAGAAAACCCACATACTTATACTACGCCTGGCGCGATGATAGCTGAAGTGGAACATGCGAACATGATGCTGGTGGCCGTTGCCCCGCCGATACAGTTAGTGACGCCTGCCGGGCCATGGGGGCACGACGTGCTGCGATAACAGAAACGACGACGAAGCCGCGCCCCCCGCGGCGTGGAGAACATGCCGCGCCTGCCGCGCCCCGCGACCCTCGGACGGATAGCGGCTGCGATGAGGCACCGCCCCGCGCGCACCCCGCGGCGCGGAGAAAATGCCACGTCTGCCGCGCCCCGCGACCCTGGGGCGGAAGAAGACCACGCTCAGGAACCGCGCCCTGCGCACCCCCCAGTTGCGTGGGATAATGCAACGCCAACCGCGCCACGCGACCCTGGGACGGATAGAGACCGCGGTGGTGGACCACGCCCCGCGCACCCCCCGTAGCGCGGAAAACGTGCCGCGTTTGCCGCGCCACGCGACCGTGGGATGGATGGAGGCCACGGAGAGGGGCCACACTCTACGCACCCCCTGCAGCGTGGAAATGGGCGCGGCATGCGCTGCGGCGGGCGGCGCCGGGTCAGCGCCTGCCTGGCCGGCCTCGTGCGGTCGCTGGACCTCCGCCGGCGGCTCGCCGTCGTCGCCCGCCATCTGCCCCAGCAGATCAGGAGAGGCCTCTGCTGGAAGCCCGCCCAAAGCGGGTATCAGCAAGCACGCCGCCAGACATCGCATCTTGCCGTGGCTGTCCTTTGCCGCGTCGCTGCGCCCGATCCAAAGCGCGCCCCGCCACCAGTTTTCGAGCTGTCGGCGGCGCGCCTCGACCGCGCACTAAACCAGGCCATGCTGCCGTTCATCGCCTTGCTCGCCCATGTAGCCGCGCAAGTCTTCCGACAAAATATCGGAGCCCACGCCCGCCAAAGCGTTCTTCAGCCTCTAGCGTGGGGGGGGGGGGGGGCATTGCGTTCATGGCAATTTTAGGCGGCATGGAAGCCCGCGACGCGGGGGCGCTTGCTGCCTCCGGTTGGGAATCCTGCCTCTCCCACGTGAAAGTCCTAGCGCGCCGAGTCGGAATGGGCCCAGGTGTTTATTGTTATCGCGCATGCCCTCTGGCGTCGAGAAACCGCATGCGACGCTGCGCGCCAGCGCGACAACCAGCGACCCCCGCCATCTGCACACGCCGTCCGGAATCGAGCGACTGCCGCGCCTGCCGAACTTTGCGAGCGCGCGACGCATAACGACCGTGCGCGCCCCCCTGTGCTGCAGAGAAATGGCCGCGCCTGCCACGCTTTGCATGCGCACGACGGATAACGACCTCGCCCCCC